CAGGGATGTGCAAAGCCACACGGATCTCAGGAGCCCGTTCTTCCTTTGGTCTGTGAGCTGGGCCTCTCCGAGCACTCTCCACCTCTTGGTTGCTGTGGATTTAGCAGGTGTGGGGTGGCCAGGCAGTCGGCTCAGGGCTGTGATTCACTCATCCATGACTTTTTCCTGCGGAAGACAGTGAACACTGAGAGCTGCTTTAGGTTTCGGGAAAGGCTGTCGGAAATCTCACTAAAGAGGCGGCCGTGACACTGAAGATTGGCTGGTTGTGTGCTGGGTTCCCCAATTAAACAGCTCCAAGGCAGCGTTGGAAAAGCTCCGAGAGCTCCACTCCAGGGTCACTGACATCAAGGGACCCGTTACCTAGTGTCAAGTTTTAATCTTTCTGTTAGGAGATTTCCAGCAGTACAGACAGTGGGAGGAGAGTCCCCTGGCCGGTGTCCTCCAGAACCTCCGGGAGCTGATTTTCACAGGGGTCCTGTGTTGGTACTGTACCATTCCTGCAATCGTGTCTCCAGAGCTTGAAACAGTCCCAGCCATAAAGGAAGGCTCTAATTTTCCTGAATATCAGGAGGTTTTTTTTTTTCCTGAGACAACATCTCACTGTGTATCCCAGGCTGACTGGAAGTGAGGCAACCCTCCTGCCTCAGCCTCGAGCACTGGGATTTCAAGTGTGCGCCACCATGCCTGCTCAGTGCCATCAGGATTTTGAGAATCAGAAAATACCGGAGAAGACAGAAATGTGACAGGATTGAGAGTCCTTCCTGCACATACATACAGTAAGGTAAATGCCCCTCCCTCCCGAGCCTCCGTGCCTTTGATTTCCATGTGCTCTGTCTGAAGAAGAGCTTACCGCTCTGCCTATAGTGTGTAATCCACTCATCTGGGTCTCCTTTCTGAGCAACAAATGGCCTTTTGATTTATTGGGATTTTTCTTAAAAATGAAACTTAGTATTTTCGGTTAGAGAAGCCTAGATGGCAGTTATTCAAAATGCAGCTGGGCGTGGTGATGCACGCCTGTCATTCCAGCACTCAGGCTGAAGCAGGAGGATCCCTGCGAATTCAAGCCCAGTCTGGGCTCCACAGTGAGTTCAAGGCCACCCCAGACCCTGCCTCAAAACACAAACCAAAAAACCAAACCAAACTAACAGACACCAAGCCACATGAAACCCCGTGCGCTGGGCAGGGACCTCACACCTCGCAGCCCGCCTCTCCCGCACCTGGAGACTCAGCCATCCCTCTTCCTCCTGCACGTCACCATGGTGACAGCGCCCTCCGGTCCCCTTCCCATCGCACCTCCCTCCTGCCCTCCTGGACACAGTAATGAGGGTTGAACCCCTTCAGTTACCAGAGCAGGCACCACTGGACACTCCCAGGCCCGCAGAAGGGTCCCTGTCGGGTGGCACTTTCACTGGTTTCTGCTGTTTACTCAGGAACCAGCAGGGACCTGGGCTCCCAAGAGCCCGTGTGTTTGGCTTTTGCTGTGCCTTGGAGAATCTTCCCTAACAGATGTGGAGTGTCCCTGTCTGTGTGTCTGTCTGTCTGCCTCTCGGTGTCTCTCTCTGGGGTGTTTATAACATTTTCTGTTCCAAACGCGGCCACAGGCGCTCCTGAGCACGGCTGCAAATGTTTCCGCAGATCAATTCCCAGCCGTGAGTCCTGGGCTCCCAGACCCACTCCGCTCTCCGGCCTCACCTGCCTGGCATGCAGCCCGGGGGCCGGGGCGCCTGGTCCTCCTTGCCCTGAGAACAGCCACCCCCTGTCTCGGGAGCTCTGCCCTCTGCCCTCTGTCCCCTCCCGCGCTGGGACTCCACTTTGCCCCGCCTCGCCCCTTGCCTTTGCCCTGACGTTGTAAAATACCGCTGAGGGCACCCGTTTATTTATGGGCTTCTGGCTTTGGAGCCAGAGTCAAGGGGACCGTCCCTTCCACGCGACGCTGGACGCATCTGTCGGATGCTGGATTTTGCTCTGTAGCAGAGTTCCGCCTTTGATGTTGGGATCCATCTGTACACGCGGTGTCAGGTAGGGGCCCGGCCGCATTTGTTCCGGTTTCCCACGGGCCGAGTCTCCCCATTGCCATGGAGGCACTGGCCTGATTCTCTGCAGTGTCACCGGGGTGGCTGTCACCACCCTGGACGCAGCTCTCTCCTGCTCCCCGGTAGAGTTAGGGTGTTGTTTATCTGCCAACGCCACAAGGCTTAGTGGTTGAGGTTCCACAGTGCTTCTCTGTCTGTCTGTCTGTCTGTCTCTGCAGATCTGCTCCTGCTTATTTTTCCCCATGACTTTCAGGATCAAATGTCTGCCTCCTTTCTGCAAATCAAGACACAGCAAAAGGGCTGGGGATTTAGCTCAGCAGCATAAGCACCTGCCTTGCAGGTGTGTGGTCGTGAGTTCGATACCGGGTACTGATAAAAAAGAAAAAGACAAAAAAAAAAAAAAAAAAAAAAAAAAAAGACACTGCAAAAGTCCCCACGTGGAACACGGTGCCGGGGGGCGTGTGCTGTGTGGGGGGCTGGACCTCTGGGCTTCAGCCTGCTGGGAAAGCGCTCCAGCCCGCTCTGGCCGTGCTGCAGCCTCTCAAGATGGGCTTCTTGAGGTCAGGATCCCGGGAGCACAGAGCTCTGAGATGGAACCCCTACTGGGGCTGGGTCCCCAGGTCCCCCAGTTCCTGAGCAGCGGCTCTGCCTGGGAGCTGAGCCGTCTGTTTGGAGACCTCCTGTGCCAGGCACCTTGGACCAGTGAGGCCCAGCCGCCCCGCACCAGCGTCTGGCTGCTGAGTCCGAGGAAGGGTGGACGCCATCATGGTCCAACATGCAGCACCCGCCACTGAGCTTGGCTCCCCGCTCCAGGCTGAGGGTTCCTGCTGCCCACACTGCCCAGGCCGCTGCACCTGGGTGCTGCCCAGAGACCCGTCCTCTTTCCGGGACTGTGGCAGCTTCCTGTGCAGGGGTGAAATTTATTCCTGCGTGTTTTAATTGGGGAGGGCTGGACGCTTCTATTTTTTTTTGGTATCTGGCCTGGAATGTGGGTCCTTTGTGCTGAGCTAGCACTCTTCTTGTGTGGTAGGGGTGGGAGTGCTCCCGAGTCCCTGTGGTGAGGACAGTCACCCCACTGGTGAGGGGTCCCCACACGCTGCTGCCTCCCCAGCACCCGGGTCACAGATGCTGCCGCCAGGGTGCAGGGCCCGCAGGACCCCAGCGTCAGGCGCCCCGTGGCTCAGGTCGCAGTGGCAGAGCCGGTGTGGGATCCTCCGGTGAATCTGATCCTTCAGCGCAGCTCCCGGAGAACACGGTGGTGGCAGCTCAGGCAGGAAGCCACGATGTGGGGATGCACAGTGCAGAGATGGGGGACCTGGACGGGGACCACTCGGGGTGGATGTGCTCCATCTGGCTTTGGGCCCGGCATGGGGTGGTTGTAAGACAGATGGTGTGGAGCGGCACAGGACAGATGGACGGAGCAGTGAGCTGAGTGTGACCTGGTCCCCTGCAGACAGTGCCGCCCCAAGTGTCCCAGGCAAGAAGACTCTCCAGGTAGCACTTCGGAAAGGACGTGAAGGGTCAGATGTGAGCCCGCAGAGCGCTAATCCTGCGGGCAGAATTGGGGAGAAACTGCTTCTGGAGGAGGCAGCCTCGTCAGCCATGGCGAGAAGCATGGTGGGTGGATCGGATGTGGTCAGCACCCGCAGGTGCCTCAGTGGACCCCACGGGAGACGAGGAGACACCGAGCCCCCAGGCCTCGCACCAGGACACGCGCCTGGAGCTCTAGCTAAAGAGGCAACAAAGTCTTAAACAGGAGGAGAGCGGACTGCAGCCAGATGGGCAGGCAGGACGGTGGGTCCCCAGGAGCACGAGAGGGGCCAAAGTCACAGGGAGGGACGCTGCAGGGAGCTGGTGGGCCGGGTGGACCCTGACACCACAGCTCAGAGCCCTGCACCCCTGCCTGGGACTCCCGGGGGCGAGATGGGACTCGGACATCTGGTCCTGACCGCAGGGTGGTGGGGCCACAGGGCACAGAGCCTGGCTTTGCTGGATCCTCGCAGAGCACACTCAGTGTCCACAGCGACCTCTGCGCTTGGGTGCTGGGGCTCAGGTCATCTCCACAGACTGCACGAGGTCTCAGAGGTCACCTCAGAGCAGGAGTCCCACCAGGCCAGGCTCCGTACGGCGGCAATGAGCCCCGCAGGCCACACGAGGGCGCCCATGCTCTGCACACGGACCCGGGTCACCTGCAGCCGGTTGGGGTCAGCCCGGTGCAGAGCCGTGCGTGGACGGATTCCTCCTGCGTCCGGTGGCACTCAGCGCTGCTCACTCGCGAGGAGGGTCCACCTGGAGCCTGGTGTCCTCGGAGCTGCCCCAGGCCCGCCACCCTGGTCACATCCTGGGCTTCGGGGGCTCAGAGAGGCGCCCTGCCCCAGCCGCAGGCAGTGCAGGACGTCGATTCCTGCCAGGCCAAAGACACGGGGCCTGGCTCCCCATGCTTGGGACAGGCAGGCCGCTGGGGACAGGACACAGTGGAAGCCGCGTGCTGGGCCTGTCCAGTTCTGCGCCTGGGCAGCCGGCCGTGGAGGCCCCCGCAGCGCCACGCCACCTCCTGCCTGCCCCACGGAACCCAGCCTCTCTGCACATGGGCACCGGGCCCTAGCGGAGCCAGGCCAGGCCGGGGTGTCCAGGGGAGGAGCCCCGCGGAGCCCTCTGCTCTGCAGCCTGGGGAGGGCCGGAACACGCAGGACATGGGGGTCGAGCCAAGCGTGGGGACTGTGAGGGTGGAGGGCCGAGACCTGGGTCAGATGGGGGTGCTGCTCGGGTTCCCCTCGCCCTGTGACAGTTGCACCCCAGAAAACAGCACCGAGGTCCACCAGCCCAGGACCGCGAGTGCTGCATGGTCATGGCCACCAGAGGGCAGCAGAGCTGAGCCTGAGGCTCCCGCAGCCCACAGAGGCCTGGAAGGGGGGGGCGGGCCCTGCCAGCCGTGACAGGCATTGAACCCTGCATTACCAGGCGGCAGGTGGGGTGGTTTGGGGCACTGGTGGCCAAAGGTGCAGAGCAGCGACTTCGTCCTCCTGGGGCGTTCGCAGCCCTCAGCTCCAAGCCTCGCCTGCTTCCTCTGCTGGTGGCTGTGGAAGACGGTATTCGGGGCTCGGGTGGGCACTAGGGGAGCCCTTCTCCTTTTGCTGGGGAGGGAGCGGCAGGCTCAGGCTCCCTGCAGTGCTGACCCCCAGGCCAGCAGTGTCCAGAGGGACCTGGAGGTTCAGCCTGCCACACAAGGTCTCTGCCACATGGCATCGTGGCTCCTGTGTGGACAGGGGTGACCATGGGGGGTCACGGCCGTGTCATGGGCTGTGGGTCCCTGGGTGAGTCTGGTGCCACCAGAAACACCTGCTGGTCAGGTGTCCACAGCACGCTCCTCCCACGTGTGTGAGGCCCCAGGTGTGGTGGTGGTGTCCTCGGTGGGATCGGTGCTCCGCCTGGCTTCCCCCTTGCCCTGGGCACAGGTTTGACTCTGGCTGTGGTTCCCTGCCTTGGTTCTCAGGGCAATGGTGGTGGCCAGGGACATGGCAGAGGATGGTGTGAGGCTCCCATCCTACCCTGCAAACACTCTGCCCTCTGTCCCTGCTGGCTGGGGCAGCTGAGGGTTCCACAGGAGCCCTGGGGCCTGGTCCCTGGGAGGCAGCTCACTGGCTGGAATCGGAGAGGCCAGCGTCCACCCCAGGTGACCGTGGATTCTGGGCTTTGTTTTGGCAGTGGCCCCATATGACCCAAGGCTCAGAGTTAGACGTGGCAACAGGTAACAGGAGGGACATTGTCACAGTGGCCTGGGCACCGTGGGGATGACGCATCCATGTCTGAGGGCTCACATGGTGGGGTTTGCTTCCCGGAGGACCCGGAGGACCTTCCTCGGGTCCTCCGTCAGCACACGCCGCCGTGACCAGAGGGTGACCGGCGCAGGGAAACCATCATCTGGCCACGTGATGCATTGTACAGGCCCTGCCGGGGCAGGCTGCTCCTCGGGTCAGGGCTGATGGCCCGAGGCTGTGTTCGCATTCCTCCTGGCTGAGGTCACCACGTCTTAGTCAGCAATGGGAGCAGGGTAACTGCTCCTCAGGCTACCTCGAAGTCTCCCAAGGAGGCTGGGGTGCGGCGGGGTCGGGCTCCCCGCAGTGGGCTGGCTGGGGGACAGGATGGCAGGTGACCTTGGAGCCTGGTGCGGCCCAGCCCAGTGGCCCCAGTGCCTTAGTGTGTCCATGGGTTGGGGCACAGGCGCTGGGTCCACAGCTCAGGTGTAGAGCTGCCCCTGCCCCAGGCCACAGGCACTGAGGAGACTCAGGAAGGCCTCAGGGCCAGTGTGCCTGGTGCTCCCAGCGGGGACTGTCCTTCAGCACGGAGGTCTGGGAGCCAGGCTGTCCCCAAGCCCTGGGGGTCAGGAAGACACCTCGGGCGGTGGAGCCCAGTGCGGGGGTGTGTGTGAGACACAGGCCTGGGCTCTTCTTCCCAGAACCGGGCGCAGCCAGGCACCACCCTCGGGTGCTGGGAAGCACAGGGAGTTGCACGCTGGCCCTGGGACAGGTGGACAGCCCGGCGTGGGCAGGACCCCAGGGGCAGGAGCAGGGCGGGCTCTCTCTTCTTCCCTGAGGCACTCGTCTTGGGCGTGTGGTCTCTTTTCTGGTCACTGGTTACCTGCGGGGTGCAGCTGGGCCCGGGAGGACAGGGAGAAGACCCCCCAGGCCATCTGGGGCAGGCTGGGTGGGGAGAGGAGCCTCAGGGAGGAGACGGAAATCTGACTCAAGTCTGAGGAGTTATCATCATCAGTGTTTCCCTAATTGCAAAGGAATTAAAGGACTGAGGAAGGCCAAGAACACAAGTCCAAGGGTACTAGGCGTCGGCTCTTTTGGCAAAGCCAGTTGGTCTGTAATCACTTTTGAGATGTAAGTGCCTGCCTCCCAAAACGTGGCGCTCCTACCCGCTTCTATCAGGCTCCGCAGAAGAGCTGTGGTTGGAAGGGACCCGCGTTAACCGAGGCCAGGTGATGGCTTCTTATTGTAAATCTAAGCAACATTAACACCGCCGGAAACGCAGGTTGTCAGGAAAGCTGAACACAGAGACCTTCTTTGTCCTTGTTGCAGAGGACAGTCTCAGGTTGGCAGCACAGTTAGGTGACAGGGACAGTCATGTGGGAAGACGGGGAGACGAGGAACTGCCCCGGCCGGGCGGGCCATCAGTTCTCCTCTCCAGAACCGGGCCTCAGTGCAGACGGGACCTGAGCCTCCTCCCCGGGGCCCGGCTCTGCAGTTGGGGGCCACAGTGGCAGACAGCCTGCTCCATGCCAGGGAGAGGCAGCCTTGATATCACCAGGTCCCACCCGCCGCCGGCCTGCGTTTCTCCCCACCTGGGCTCCGCCCTGAGGCCGAGCAGCCCCTCCCGCGGCCATCTGCTGCAGGCTCACCTGCCTGAGTGGGCTGGCTGCTGTTGTCTGGATAACGGGAATGCAACGGGTCCCCTTTCTCCACTGCCCATCAGGAAACCGGTCCAATGAGGTGATCACGACGGATCAGGGGCGAGGGCCTTCTCCAACATGCAGCGGAGCTGGGTCAGCTGGGCCGCACAGCAGGCTGGCATGGAGCCCTGGAGACAGCCAGGCCTGCAGCCCACCACCCTGACCCCTCCGTCCCTGGACGGTCCGTCTCCCTTTTGCTTCTGTCAGCGGCCGAGAAAGCCCAGACTGACGTCAGATTTCAGCCGTGGCCTGGCACGTTTCTTTCTAGTCTTAGCATCCTATAAAAGCTTCTGTTCTCTAGGAGTGTCCTGCCCCTCTCCACGCTTTATTCTAACCTTGCAAAAAAGGGCCCCCATCTCTGCCAGGCCGAGTCGGCCTTGTGTGGCCGCGCTCCTGGTGGCTGCACGTGCTCGGGTATGAGCCTGCGTCGGGCTCCCGCAACAGGGCCAGAAGCAGCTGGGCGACGATCCGTTCCAGTCCCTTCTGTTTAACCATGTTTAACCATGCATTTTACAGCCCCTTAGACTCCGACGCACGGGCCAGGGACACTGGGGAGATTCCTCCGCTCTGTCACGGTTTCTTCTCTGGATTCGATGTCCTGGATTTCAGCTGAGCCTTTGTCAACAAACAAAACAACAAGACAAAACATAAAAACGTGACTGCTTTGTGATTTTCCCCTCACATAGAAAGCACCTGTAGTCTCCTGCAAGCGCCTTCTGCTTTGTGTTGATCCTGTTGCCTGTGGCTATGCTGAGCAGGCTCAGGAGGCCCCGGTGCCCGCTTCTCTGCAGGGCAGGAGGCTGCCCACCAGGCCTGATTGGCGCCTTAGGAAAAGGCCCGGGAAGAGGGAACAGGCCTAAGAAAGCACGTCCTCTGGGGGGAGAATCGTAGAACAGAATCACCAGGCTGACTCTCCGAGGTGTGGAGGGCCCGAGGGAGAAGGGAGCTCAAGTGGCCCCGAGTGCGGTCAGCATGGGGGTTTCCGAGACCTCGGGCTCCCAGAGTTTAGTTTTTGTGTGTCAAATATTTTTCTCTTGGAGAGATGGAGAATGTGCTGTGAGGCCCGCTGGGCTTCAGTCTTTGTTCCCTGCCCACAGACTGAGCGGGGGAGCTCGTTCCCTGCTCTGAGCCTCAGTTTCCTTCTCTGCACAGCAGACGTTAAGAGCCTGTTGCAGTAGTGCGTGCCTGTGGTCCCAGCACGCTGGGAGGTTGAAGCAGGAGGATGGAAAATTGGAATTTACCCCCAGTAACTTAGTGACACCCTGTCTCAAAATAAAATACAATTTATGAAAAAGAACCAGGGATGCAGCTCAGTGCAAGGGTCCTGGGGCGCATTCCTGAAGGTGCCGGCTTTGAGAACTAAGAGCTCTCTGCTGTGACAGGCCGAGAGGTGGCCTGGATGTCTACTGGGCACGGGGCTTGCACAGGGCTGTGACTCCAACAATGGAGGTGGCGATGTGACAGTGGTGTGTGGCCGTGGGGTGGCAACACAGAAGGGGCAGGTGGGACCTCGCTGTCCCCTGAGCCCCCTGCATGGTGACTTTGAGCAGACAGTGTCACAGGGCGGTCTGGAGTATGCAGGACAAATGGCCCTGGAGGTCCTGCTCAAAATCTCTGCTCCCTTCCAAATTGAGCTGGAGGTGCAGGGTCCCCGGGGTCACAGGTGTCAGGTCTGCAAGGCTTGCAGGTCATTTCCACGGAAGGAAGCAGGAATGGCCTTGGATCCTTGCCTCGCAGGGTCAGCTTCACACAAGGCCGTCTCCTGCTCGCTCAGAGACCGCCCGTGGCTTGGAGAGCGTGTGTACTCGCCCGGAGCCTTGAGGTCAGTGCCCTGTGCCTGAGAAGCACTTCGTTCGGCATCACAGATGATCTGGGATTTTCCTAAAACTGCCAGGGGGTGGACTGGGGCCTCGGGGCTCCGGGGGACTCCAGCCACTCCCTCCATACAGGACCCACTCTGGAAGCTGCGTCCAAACCCGGCCTAGCAGAGCTGGCTGAGACGCAGCGGGAGCCAGGGGTCAGTGTGCCGTGAGCACAGGTGTGGGGGAGACCTGGGGTGGGGACCGTGGGGAGGCGGGAGAGGGAGGAGGCCCAGCCCGTGGAGCTGAGCTCAGGCAGCCCGTGTCCATGCTCACCGCCTGGTAAGGCTGCTCCTCCCCGGAGTGGAGGGGTTCACAGGGAACCTGAGCGCGGGGACAACAGCTTCTGTCCCCCAAATCCCTCACACTCAAAGAGGCATTTCCGGAGGTAGGGCTTGCAGTTGGCCCCGAGTGGTGGGGGAGCGGGCGAGTCCCATAAGCAGCTCAGGGCGGGCATCAGGGCGGCACAGGACACCCAGGGAGACCCCACCGTCCACCCTCCACTGCCCGTGCCCTCTGTGGCTCTGTTGTCAGCTGGCTCCCTCTAGGCCCGTGCTGCAGGTGGGCCCGGGCCCGGTCCTCTGACGTGGCCTTCCCAGTCGTGGCCTCCTCTCTGTCCCCTCCCGATGGGACATCCGAGGCCCTGCCACCTTCTTTCGGGAGGGCAGTGTGACCGATGTCCGGCTTCTCTGTGGCTTGGGAGGGCTGCAAGTGCCCCTGGGAGATGAGGCCGAGCAGGGGCGGAGCTGACAAGGACCCCGGAGAAAGCCCTGGCCTGGGGCCAGAGTGGACAGTGAAGGTGGCCCTGAGGAGGGTTTGGTCCCCAGGAAGGGAGGGACTCAGAATGGCCTCTTCCTCCCCCTTGGTCACTTCCCTCCCCTGGGTCTCACCCGCCAGCCGATAGTGTGCTGTCCGCTGGGGTCCCTGGGAGGGGACGTGGGCCTCCTGGTGCCGCAGAAGGCCTTGTGCTGACTGACACTGCGAAGGTGGTGTGAGGGCCCCCTGGTTTCCTCGGTGGGTTTCTGGAACCGCATCTGCCTCCTGCCTGTTCTGGTCCCACTCCTCGGGTGCGGGTGGGATGCACTCCAGGGCCACACTGGAAACAGGCGCCTCGGGGGACAGCTGGCACGGCTGCTGGATGGCACCTCCCTGGAGCGCTCACTGGGCACACGGAGGGGTCCACGGCTCCTCCAGCTGCACAGTGGCTTTTGAAGTGTCCTCTGGGAGCCTGGGCTGGCCGCTGGGGACAGATCAGGGAGCTGTGAGAAGGGACACGAGAGGACACCTTGGTGTAAAGAATTTAGCTCGGGTGGAGAACAGAACCCTGCGCCCCGAATGCGACAGCAAATCTTCATGATCAGTGTGACTGGCAGGAGAGCCTCGAGGTTGACAAAGCACACAACTATGGGCCTGGGAGTGACCTTGGGGCCTTGTGCTGGCCTTCTGCTGGCCTTCTGCTGGCTGGCTCTTCTCTGCTGTCTCTGTTTCCTGCTCACTCTGGGGCCAGCTGGGCACGGACTGAACTCTCGGAAACCGGGAGTCACCCCAAACCCCTCCTCCTCTAAGGTACTGCGCCCGACTCTGCTCCATGATGGAGAGCTAAGGTGGAGCGGGCTGGATCTGAGGGGACGTGGGGCAGGGGCAGCCCGGAGGAGCCCTGTGGACACAGGCGCGTGAGGAGCAGAGGCTGGAACACCCAGCAGTGTGGTCAGAAGAGGGAGGGCGAGGGCGCTGGGGAGGGCACAGCGGGCTGTCCTCCGGAGGGCGAGTCTGGGTCAGCGGAGTGTGGAAGGCAGTGATTTGCCCACCCGGGACCAGTCTGTCCCCCCACACTTCCTCCCTCCTGCGTCGTCCAGGCTTATTCTGCCCAGTTTTTCTCATTTCTCCCGGCGGGAGTGCAGGTTGCTGGTTTGGGGTGTTTCTTTCCTTACTCGGGCATCTGGTGCCGTGAGTTCCCCTCCAAGCCTGCTCCAGCTGTGCCCACACTTTGATCCCTGGTGTTTTCACCCCATTCAGTTCAGACGGTTTCTTAGCTTCGCTGAGGTTACTGTGTCACTGCTGGCTTAGGTGAGCACACAATGTGATTACCGATCACAGGAGGGCTCCCTGCAGCCCTCTGCTGTGGGTGGCAGCTCGGCTTCCCAGTGTCTTCCCTGCTGACTGGGGGCGGAGGACAAGGCAGAGCCGCCTTGGGCAGGGCCGCGCTGGGTGATGAGATCCAGATGTCCATTGTCCTCTTCCTTTCTTCCAAAACTCTTGCTAATTCTCGTCTCCTCCTCTTCTATGACTGTAAGAGGCAGGATTCTCCCGAGAAGCAGCGCCAACAGTGCCCCCGCCCTGCCTGCACTGGGAGGGGACCCAGGGCCTCCCCGAGGAGCCAGAGCCGCGTCCCGGCCCCCTTCCAGACAGGCGCTTGCTAAGTTTCCCAGTCTGGGCCTCAGCTTGCCACCCTCCTGTCTCAGCCGCCCAGAGTGCTCGCTGGGGCTCTCACCACTCTCTTTCCGCTGTGTACATTGTTCCATCATTATCAGTCTGTCCCCAAGTAGAGCTGTCACTGTCCGGTTCCCGCCACCGCATTGCTCAGACCCTGGCTTTCTATTTGGGTCTCTGTCTTCAGCTTCTGCTGTCTGGGGAGAGGGTGAGGTACATGGTGCTGAGGCATTGCCAGGACCTGGCAGCCCGACCTGTCTCTCCTTTCTCCCCACCCTCACGGGGTCCTGTGCCCCCAAGAACCCTTGTCACAGCTCAGAGACTTGGGTCCCTAACCTCCAGTATGCGTCCTCAGGAGGGCGTGCGCTCAATGGGCTGCGGGCTCAGCGGACCGTCTTCAGTGGGGTGTGTCCTCAGTGGGGTGTGCCATCAGTGGGGCGTGTCCTTGTGGTGTGTGTCCCCAGTGAGGTGTGTCCTCCGTGGTGTGTGTCCCCAGTGGGGTGTGTCCTCCTGTGGGGTGTGTCGTCCATGGTGTGTGTCGCTGGTGGGGTGTGTCCTCCGTGGTGTGTGTCCCCAGTGGGGCGTGTCCTCCGTGGGGTGTGTCCTCCGTGGGCTCACTCTCTCTGAGGAGTCAGCAGTGACTGGAAGCTGCCTGAGGGCCCAGGCACACAGGTCCCTGAGGTGGAGGAGCACAGGGCCAGGGCAGGCGGTGTCTCTGCGGCTTGGACTGCTGTGAGGCCAGGGTGTGGCCTATGATGCAATTGCCATGGGCCTCATCCCTCGTCCACTGCTGGCCAGAGCATGTGTGAAGGTCAGTGCTGCCAGGTCCCCGGCTGGGTCTCCGTACATTCTGTGTGTGCTGTGCTTCTGCTGTGATGAAGTGACTTCTTTCTGTTTCTGTTTGGAAAAGTGTTTATTCCTCCCGTTTGGCTTCGATCTGATTCCCACACAATAACACTTGCTTTTGTTTTTCTGAGACAAGTTCTCACTATGTACTTCAAGCTGGCCTCTGACACACTATGCAGCATAGGCTGTCCCCAAACTCGTGGAGACCCTTCTGCCTCTGCCTCCTGGGTGCTGGGATTACAGGTGTGAACATTTGAACATTCACTCTTTAAAGTATAAAGTTCAGTAGTGTTTTCACAGGGTTGCACAATCACCCTCACTAACTTCAGAACGTTCCTCACTCCGAACAGAAGCCCTCGCCATGAGCCTGAATATCACGAGGGCAAAAGGACCAAGGACAGCAGTCGTGCCGGCTCCCAGGCCAGCCCCCGGGAGAGGGCCCCGGTGCAGGACCCCGGGCTAACAGTCATGAGCCCTGGTGGCCCGCTCCTCGTGGCCGGCTCTGTAGGAGCTCAGGCAGGGCCCATCTCCTGTTCTCTGGTTTGGGTGTGAGCATTTCTGTGCCCCTCCAGATACCATTTCCATGTCTCTGTAGGAATGCCCCGTAGCCCTGAGGGTGCTCACCTATTCCAGTGGGACAGTTTGTGTTTAGATCACCGTTATTCAAGCATTCTAGCTTATAGTTTTGATTGACTGCCCTCCCTTCTCTGTGTCTGTCTGTCTGTCTCCCCAGTGTGTCAGGGTCTGACTATGTGATCCAGTTGAGATTCTCCTGTCTCAGCCTCCAGTGTGCTCAGATTCCCAGCATGCATCAGCACTCCTGAGTTTCTGTCTCTTGCTTTTCATGATGTCACTGCTTTGGAGGAATGCTGGACCTCGTGAGTGAGACAGGAGATGGGTGGTTCAGCCAGGAATCAGGGGCGGCTCTCCTGCTGGGCCACAGAGATTCGCGCACCCGTGTGTCTGTGGTGTGTCTGTGGTGTGTGTGTGCGTGTCTGTGGTGTGTCTGTGGTGTGTGTGTCTGTTAAGTCACTCTAGGAGGTTCCCCAGTGGTCCAGGTTGACCTGGGACCTGAGAGCTGCCCTACCCAAGGACTCGCTGAGTGGCAGGCTTGGTCACTCGCACACTGTCCCCTGTTGAGCAGTGCGGTTGAGGTCCCATCACTACCCGGCCCCACAGTGCACCCACAGCTCAGTTGGAGTGAAGGCCAGGCAGGCCATCTAGGACTCGGCTCATTACCTTCCAGATCCCAGGGTCCTGCATAGTGCCCACTGCACCTGGGTGGAGGAGCAGGTCCCTGGGGCCACCAGGGGACAGGCTGGCAGTGAGGTGGTGCTGAGCATGTGGAGCAGATCAGGATGTGGAGCTCACAGCCCTGAGGACAGTGTCTGGAGCTCCTCGGGTGGCGCAGGGTGAGTGTGAGTGGGGCCTGGCTCCCCGACCCCAACTCTCCCTGCTTCCACAGCACTTCCAAAATCACAGCTGGGAAGCCAGCAGGGCGCAGAAACACGTGCTGCTCCTCTGCATGGGGTCCAAGGAAGTCCATCCAGAGACACGGGAGCAGCAGGATGGTGGCCAGGCAGGGTGGGGAGAGCGACAGTGACCAGCAGCTTTGGGACTCAGCTGGACCCAGGGATGTGGGTGACCTGCTGTGCACACAGTGACCTCAGCCAACATGCATGTCCTGTGTCTTTGAACACTGCTGCCGATGTGATAAACCCAGCACTCAGGAGGCTGAGGCAGGAGGATCCCCTCAAGTTCCAGGCCAGCCTAGGCTTTGTCGTGAGTTCAAGGCAGCTTCAACTACAGAGACCCTGTCTCAGAAAACAGAATACCCAACCAAACCAAATCAAATAAAAATGCTAACGCAATCCATGTCAGCATTCTTTCTTTGAGGGGTACTGGAGATCAAAGTCACGACTTTGCACTTGCCAGGCAGGCACTTGTGCCGCTGAACCATATCCCTGGCCCCCATTCCCAGTCTTACCAAAAATTGCTAAATGTCACTGCTGACTAGTATGGCGTAATCTTTCCACATGGATACACAGATCAGAGCTCACGGTCACCCCACTGGGGTGGCGGGGGAGGAGTCAACACTGGAGAGCCACGCCCTATGCGGGTGCTTGTGTTTTATTTCTCAGTTAAATGTGATCAATGTCTGACACCTCCAAGCTTCGGATGCTGCTCTCAGGTGCAGAGGGTGGGGCAGGGCTTGCCAGGGTCTGGCTGTGCAGACCGGGTATTTTATAACCAGCTCCGTCCCGCCACTGGGTAGAGGGTGCCGGCCTCTATCTCCTCTGTCTATAGAGAAGTTCTCGGCTTGAAGGGGAGCAGCAGCCCGGCGTGGTGGTCCTTGTGCATCATCTCCGTGCTGGGGAGGCTGAGCCAGGCGGATTGCTGCAGGTCTGAGGCCAGCCTGGACCTGAGATGCTGTCTTGGAGAAAAGAGAGAGGGAGAGAGAGAAGGGGAGGCCCTGGCTGTGTTCAGCCCTGGGCGTGGGAAGGCCTGGGTATTCCTCCATCCTCCAACTGTGGAACTCTTCTGCTGGGCCCACACTGCCCCCGCCCTCAGCACCGGGGCAGCGAGGGCCTGGGGGCGGGCGGTGACCGGGAGAAGAGAGCTGTACACTGGTTTTCTGCAGCCTCGGCCGGGCGGGACAAAGGTCGAGGTTTAGGAGCCTGGTGCAGGGGGTGGCGGCAGATCTGGGGTGCACGCCAGCTCGCAGGCAGCTGCGGGCGCTTCATGATCAGATAATCGGGCCCCACCTCGGCTGCTGCTGCTCCCTGTTTAGGAAGTGCAGGCGGGCTCTCCATTCCCATTTAAAGCCAGGACAGCGAGGCCAGCGCCTCCCGGGCGATTCTCTGCTCCATGGGGTCACCAGACGTTTACAGAGAGCTGCTCTTGGCTCGGTGCTGGGTTGTGTGTTCCTCCTGCCTGGCACGGGGGACAGTCGGAGAGGGGGGAGGCTCAGAGCGGCTGGGCAAAGCAGGGTGCCGCTGGCTGTGAGTGTCCGGGCCCCACCCTGATAGGCCTGGCTGCAGTGACAGCTGTGTTTGGAGGAGACCGGGAAACTCTCGTCCGTGGGTAAACTGAGGCACACTGGCTGAGAGTCTGCCTCGGCTGTCCTGCAGCGTGATGTGTGAAGTGGAGTTGGGTAGGGTCATCAGGGCCTGGGAGAGAGGTCAAAGGGGCGGGCGAGGGGTCAGGCCATGGTGAGGCCCGTGACGTGCACACCTGTGCTCTGGGACACACACACAGCCATGTGCCCACAATGTGCCCGCCTGGTCTGTGGCAGCCCTGTTAGGACCCGGAGGCCAGGACGGGTGTAAGCAGGGAGGGGGCCGAGTCTGAGGCACTGACATCACTGGCTCCACCCGCCCTGGCCGAGGTGCGAAGGAGCCAGCCGCGGTGGTGGTGGTGGCAGTGGGTGGGCAGCAGCGGGGGCAGCGGAGGTGAAGCCGAGTCCCTGAGGCTGGCCCATCCAGTGCTGCTGTGCCCCGTCCAGTGCCACATAGCAGGCAGCGGCAGCAGGAGCGTCTGCACCCCCAGGTCTCGAGAGGGTGCTGGGGCCAGGGTGGGGAGCTCTGCCTTCCCCCAGCGGGCGGGCCGCTCTCCTCCTCCTTCTCCTCCTCCTCGGTGTCCCAGCCGGGACAGCCGCCAGCGATCCCGGGCCACGCTCCAGCTCCAAGCCCAGGAGGCGACGCCCCTCAACTCCCGGCAGCCCGGACTTTCCAGCAGCAGCGGCGGCAGCAGGGACATGTCCCTCTCCCCGGGCAGGGGGCAGTGAGGAGGCCACAGAGAATGGCACGCGGCCCCGGACCCTGTGCCATGAGCACGCTGCTGGCCCTGCGCCGTGGGGACCTCTGGCTGCTGCTCCTGTGCGGCGTGTGCCAGGTACCGCGCTGCCCGGGGCTGTGGCTGCCGCTGGGGGTCTGCCCCTACCAGTCTCACGCTGTCACCTTTCCCACCAGGTGCCCAGAGCCCAGCCTGGGGCCCAGGACCACCCAGGTAAGCGCCCTGCTCGCCCACCCACTCCTGCCTTGACTCAGTTTCCCTGCTAAGCTCTCAGCTGCGGGGCCCAAGGACCCGCACTTTGCCTTTGTCCCCTGCACCGTCCCTGAGGGTCTCTGGGGTTTCTGAGCCCTGGTGACAGCTGGCCCCTCACCTGGGGACCCCGGTTTCCAGGGCTGGCCAAGTCCGTCTGTCCTTCAGCTTACAGTGCACACCCTCGGTGTCAGTCCCTGCGGCTGGCCCCACACGGGTGGTCCCACAGTGCTCAGGGCTGTCTGGGGCCGAGCTGCCCTCCATGTGCCCGGCTTGGCCGAGGAAGGCTTCTCACACCAGAGCCGCTGGGGCCCCACTTGGGAATCCTCTGTGCAGACACTTGGGGGAGACGGGCACAACTTTTGGGGACAATGTGGGCACTGCCAGGGCCACGGGCTCTGCAGCCCAGGGTGCCACTGGGTTCTCGGATGGGGACGCCGGCCAGGGACCCCTGAGGCTCGCCTCCTGCCTCCCGTGGGAGCAGCCACCCGGCTCGGCCCCCGCAGCCGATGTTGCTCAGCGCTCCTCCCTGTCCGATGGCCTGGGACGTTGGTCCGTGTCATCGCTGCCCTGTGTCTCAGAGCCGGAGGCTGTGGGTTTCCCCTGTTCCCCTTGTCTCAGCCAGATGTTGGGGTGTGGGTCTGGGAATGGGCACACCCAGCCCTGGGTGCACGGGACTTCGCTCCTGCTGGGACCGGGAGGGGAAGAAGCGGCAGCCACCGCCCAGGTGTCGGGGCTGAGGGGTCCGAGGGGTGTGGGGGCTGGGATCTGCCATGGGACCCCCAAGCCCACCCACCACTTGCAGCTCCCCACAGAACAGAGGGTATGAACGCCCCTTCTGGGCTCTGTGCTCAGACACGGCGTCCACCCAGGCCCACACATCGACAGGCAGGCCCAGGCACCCACACCCGACGTGCTCCCACCCTGGACCCTGCGTCCTGGAGCCGTTTGAGCTCAGTCTCTGCTCCAGATCCAGCTGCGCTCCTCCCTGTGGGGACAGGGCAGGAAGAGCCTTCCCTTCCGCACAGGCACCTGGGGAGAGGTCCGTGCACCCTCACCTGCCCCACGCTGCTCTCTGCCCTCCTGTCCTCCTGTCCTCTGCCCACTTCTGCCCAGCCCAGGAAGGGGAGCGAGGCTGTCATGCCTGCCCAGGTGCAGGTGCACGGCGCCTGGTCTCCACCTCCTCCTCCTCCTTCTTCCCCATTTCCTCGTCCACTTCTCCACCATGTGCAGGGAGGGGAGAAGTGAGCTGGACATAGCCGGGCCACTCTCAGGGAGGCTGAGGCCATAGGTCGGTCTCCATAGCACCAGGGCAGAGCCACCAGGTGGGCAGCAAACCTGTCCGCTTCGGGGTCATGCTCACACTACAGGCACAAAGTGGGTCCTTGGGACAGTGACCTGCACAGGTCACAGAACTGATCCGACACAGGCTCAGCTAGGAACTCAGAACTGGGAGCCAGAGGGGCCACAGAGGTCCCTGACAGCCTGCTGCCCAAGCAGGGGCAGGGAGACGGCCACCCCAGGTGTTGGGGTTCCGGCCGGGTCCCCGGGTCAGCCGGGATCCTCTTCACCACGGCCACCCAGATTCCAGCTTTGGAAAGGGTTGCTGAGCTCTCTGCACGCTCCTATCCGCCCACACTGGACCTCGGGCCAGCAGGCACGCAGCAGATAGCGCAGCCTGGAAACCGAGTCCACAGGGCAGCTGACTGGGCAACTGCAGGGCCCGGCGGGTGGCCCGGTGTCCACATTGTGCATCTGCCCATGCTGGGCCTGGTAACCAGGTGTCCACTGGACCCTTCCCTCCAGGGTGGGTGAGTGTCCAGTTTGGGAAATCATCTCAGAGCAAGCGTGCTCCTCTGCACTGCCTTTTCTGAGTGTCCCTGACTGCGGGCTGACCCTGCAGAGAGAGGGAGACAAGCGGGCTTCGTACCCCACCCTGGCCCTGGAGGGGATGGGTCAGGGGCTGGGGGGCAGGCACCGGCACAGGGAGCCCAGGATCCCACCCTCCCTCCGGGCCCTTTGCCCTGGTGGCCATGTGCAGCAGCCATCCATGTGTCCTCCTGCAGGTGGCGTTTGTCTCAACTAGGGGCCTGGTTGGCTCACGGGCCACGAGTCCAGTCGTTTCCAGGAGGTCAGGGCAGCGCTGCGGCCCTATTTTTAGAAGGCTGAGAGCCAAAGCAGATAATTACGGTAATTACAGCTGTGTTTACACACTGCCATATGGTGGGCAAGGGCAGCGAAACTGCTGGCCACGCTGGGACCGGCCAGGGACAAAAGCATTCACAATGGAAATGCCAAACGCAGAGTGTGGTCCTGGGGACGCTCGGGTCAGCACGTGACCCTCCACGTCGCCGCCCACTCCTGACCTCGATGGCCATTTTTTAATTGATAGCATCGGAAATTTGGGAGATTGCCAAGACAGAAAATGGAATTTCTGTTTGACAGAGGGGACAGGAGGGACAGGTGGATGTCACCTTAGATAGCAAAGAAGCCAACCAGGGGACAGACAGCCCGACCAAGGCTGCAGGGGGCCTAATGGCCTAGAGGAAAGAGCTGGGGGACAGCGAGGACGCCAGGGCCAGGGGCAGCAGAGGGGGCACCTGTGAGCTGCACCCGGGCCAGAAAGAGGTGGCTGAGCAGGGCGTGGTGGCGCACAGCTGTAATCCTAGCGTTTTGGGAGGCTGAGGCAGGAGGATCCCAAGTCCAAGTTCAGCCTGGGTAATTTAGCAACTTGTTAAAAGTGAGTCTCAAAATAAACCATCGAGCAGGTCTGGGGGTGTAGCTCAGTGGGCAGGCTCTAAGTTCAATCCCCGCCCACGGGAAAGAAAAGGAATCAGAGAAGGCAGGAGGGGAGGGATCGGGGAGCGGGAGCGCCAAGCCCCTGGGGGCCTGGCAGGGTCCTGCTCCCCTGGGGTGTGGACCGAGGAGGGGCAGGGCCAGGGGCAGGGCGGACTCAGTCCTGAGCAAAGCTGAGGACACAGCTCCTCCGTTGACGTGGCCAGGGCCGAAGGAAGTGGAAGGGGAGGACTGAAGCTCCGTTTCTGAGCCCGACTCCATCTGCCTGTCTGCCTGTCTGTCTGTCTCTCTCACACACATGCACACGCACACACTGAAGGACTACAACTTTGAGCACCACGGGAGAACTGGCCAGTGCCTGGCTGCAGCCTGGCCTCTCCCTGCCCTCCCCCGCCCCGTGCTCTCCTCCCTCCTCCCTCCAGGCTGGCCCGGTCCCGGCCCCTCCCTAGTTGGTCCTTTGGGGAGAGACTTTCTCAGCCACCCTGTGAGTGCGGAAGTCACAGCATGGCTGGCGGACTGTCCCCGCCGGCCCTGTGATGAAGGCTGTCTTTTTAGCAGAATGGGACTCTCTGTTCTTTGGAAACCTTTGGGACTTGGGGTGCTTTGCTCCCCGGGGCACCCACGCTGATCCTTTCCTCTGGTGAGCACCACACAGGTTTTAACTTAAGAAGCTGCTGACTTTGCTGCAGGGAAAGGTCTCAGAAATAAACCCCAAGACTCTCTGGCTTCTCCTCTGAAAGGGGAGACCAGGGCCGGGGTGCGGCTTGTCTGGTGCAGGGGACGCCTGGGTTTGATCCCCAGCCTGTGCGTACGTGTGCGCTCTCAAACACACATGGAAGGAACTGCAAGTGGGGAGCGCTGGCCCTGTGTCCCCAGCTGTAAAAAAAGTGAGGGTCCACGTCCAGCAGGTGACAACTTCGGTGGCCAGCAGTGTCCCTGCTGCCTGGATGATGGGGTGGGTGGATTCCGGCAGCCCCATGCCTACCTGTGCCAGCCCTGGAGCTGCATCTCGGGCTGGCCTGTCCTGTGACACGGCCTGTCCTGTGTGTGGCCTGAGTCCGTGCTGTGGCCAGGTGGCCTGCAGCCCACGGAGCCCAGACCCACCCTCCGCCTCCTCCTCCGGGCCATGTGTGGGGCTTCGCCTGGCCCATGCCTGCCCAGAGCTGGCTGGCACTCTAGCCACCGAGTCCCCAGTGGCTGTCGTGTGGACCAGGGTTCGGGGCACACACCTGTCCTCTGCACACAGGTGCTGTTTCCTTTCTTGGTTTTTCCCAGTTGAACATACCGGAGAGTGGGCGGAGGTGGAAAGTGACCCCTGACCCCCGTCTTCCAGGAAGGTGGACGTGGGGCCCTGGGCGTCTCCTCCCCGCCTCACCTGAGGCTGCGCCCAGCTTCTGCTCAGCCCTGGGGGCTCTCAAGATCTGGCAGTGACACTGAGGGACAGGTGCAGGCTGAAATGGGACCAGGGTCAGGGTCCGGGCAGATGCCGCTGTCTATGCCCGCCCTGCTGCAGCCCCTCCGGGGCTCACAGTTGCACCCTTCCTTATGGCTTTGCAAGATGGTTCCTGAGCAGTCTCCACACTGATTTCCACAGTGGCTGTGCGGTTCACATCCCACCAGTGTGGACGGGGCCCCGCAGCCTCGCCAGCCTTTGTTATTATTTGATTGATGGCTGTTTTTTCCGGGGTGAGACGGAACTTCAGCGGTGGTGTGGTTTGTGCTTCTCTAGAGGCCAGAGGCACCAGCACCCAGAGCTGCGCCCTCCCCCTGGCTGCAGGGAGTCAGCTCCAAGGCGGCCACAGCAGCCAGGAGGAGCCCGGCCTCGGCCACCCGAGCCCCCTTTCACTGCCCGCAGCACAGCTCACTGGCCTGGACTCCTGTAGGTTCTGGGTTTGTCAGTCGGACACTCCTGCCCAGACCCCTGATCCTGCAGCAAATCCTCAAGCGTAGAGTCAGACCCTTGGGCTCCGTGGCACGGCGGGGCCTCCAGCCTCCTGAGCCCTTTACCTGCCAGCCAAGGAGTAGAGCTCTGACCTCCCAGCCCCAGACTTTGGAAATCGGTCAGGCTGACCTTCATGGAAGCATTCAAAAGCCACTTGCATGTCTTTTTCTTGAGCTGCACGTGTCCTCTGCCTGAATGTCCTGGGATTTTTCCTCTTCAATAGGGATTTTGGGTGTGTGTGTGTCGTGCAATGCTGGGGGTGGAAGCCCGGGCCTCGGGTAGGATAGCAAAGTCCTCGCTGGGGAGCTGCCGCCTCAGGCCGCAGGAGCTCTGCGAGCAGAGCTAAGGTCAGATGTCTGAATCGGCACAGTTCCGTCGGTTACTTGCTATACAAACCTCGTCCTCTACTTGGATTTAATTTGCCTTTTTTTTCTGCACAGAGATTTTGAAAAATTAATGTACTATGCATTTCCTGTTTTTCCGGAACTGGGGTCTCACTATGCAGTTCGGGTTGGCCTTGAGCTTGCTATGATCTCCTCCTGCCTCAGCCTCCTGAGTGCTGGGGGTACAGCCCCCAGCTATTACACTGAGACTTTGACTCATCTGGGAGTTTCTGTGGCATGGAGAGTGGGGTAGGGATATTAACGTTTTCTAAACGGTTCACTGGCTCCCGTGACTTTGGTGGAGTTTGTTTTCCCTCTGATTTAAAGTGCCGCCTTGATCTTAAACTAAATTCTCATATTCCTGGGAACATCTGTGACCTCTCCGGACGGAGTCTGCTCCCAGAAGCTCAGCTGCCCCCTTCGGCCTCTATCCCGAAACCCTTTCCCAGCGCTGCTACAGGAAAACCCGCACTGTATTTAGGTTCACGAAAGGAGCCTGGTGTTTTATAATGAGCCTGCTTTTCCAGAATAAATTGAGGTGAGCAGAGTGTTCTTCACAGCCCTCGGGATTATTGTATTTTTTGTTGTCTTCATGAAAATTGTGTACGGTTCTTATTGTTTTGTTCTCAAATGGTTTTCTCTCTGCATTGATTGCATTTGGAGAGGAGAATTTCATGCCGTTTTTTAGCACTATTGTTGGAACACGGGAGAGCTCCGGGCTTTGTTACTGATCAGCCTCTTCGCTAAGCCCCTTCATTGTGTGGAGCTGCCTTTACCTTGCACATCAGGCACACGTCATTTGACAGTAACGATCCCATCACCTCCCTCCCGAGGCTTCCTGTCCCCCTGGTGCCCTCTGCTGCGCCTGGCATTCGGGGTGGGGATGTATCGAGTCACAGAGACTGGTGAGAGCCCTCACTGGGACTAAGCTGAGAGCAGAGCGGGGACAGGCTCAGGCTCAGCTCCCTCACGGTGGAGACTTCGATTGCCCTGGGCGCAAGGTGGTGGTTACCCCCCAGGAACAGGGCAGACCCATCACGTGAGGGTGCCCAGTGGGGAGGACAGAAGAAGGTGCAGCCCTGCAATGTGGGTCCAGGCCGAGCAGAAGGGTCACACGGGACATGGGAGAGGAGTTGTTTCTGGGGTGCAGGAGACAGAGGTCCAGGGGGGGCCAAAGGAGACTCAGCTGCCCCGTGCATCACGTCCAGCTGGCCTCGTGCCCTGCAGGGGACGCTGTGGTCCCTGTCCTCACACACGGGCAAAGGACGCAGTAGCCTGCGAGGTCATGGCTGGAGTGAAATGCGGGAGTGTTTATAAACCGCCCCCGGCGAGTCTGCGGTAGTGCTGGGGATTTTTAGCCTCCTGCTTCTCTGCTGTCGGGTTTCATCAGATAATCCCTCTCAGACAGTGGGATAATGGATGGTGGACCCCCTCGGGGTCTCCACCCTAACTGGCCCGTTCTTAGCCTTTGCTGTCAGGCATCTCAGCCTTTGCTTTCTCGAGTGAGAAGGCCCGATTCATTCCGTCTTGTCTCATTAGAGAGCCGTGCATCGATTTCTAATGGAAGGGCTTCCTCCAAACAGAGCATGCGCACTGAACGTGCCCTGGGCGTGGCCGTGGTCACTGTGACATTTCCCAGCCCGCGTGGGGCACGGTGGCCGAGGTCCTCCTCAGCCCCTTCCCTCAGCGGGTTGAAATGTCACCTCCTCCTCCCCAGAGTTTTCGGTCCTGGCCTCTGTTTCCCACTACTGGCCGCTGGAAAGCGTGGATGGGATCCATGAACTTCAGGACGTGGCTGCAGGTAACACAAACGGAGGAGCTGCTTCCCCCTGTGCAGAGGGCGTGCTCTCAGGATTTCACCAGACTTAGGGGCCACTGTGCTGGGAGGGCTGGGCTTGGGGTTCAAACTAGGACTCAAATGTGCTTTCCTTGATCAACTCGCTGTTGCTCTCCCAAAAGAGACCCACTGCACAAGAGTCCAGCCGTGTGTGTGTGTGTGTGTGTGTCCATTGGCCTGGCAGCCCCCAGTTTTGTGACCTCAAGGACACTCAAGACGCGGGGCTGCTCACTCTTAGTGGAGTCACCGGTCCACATATCACCCAGGACCTCACCCCTACCCTGTCCCAGCCCCGTGGAGAACGGCCAGGGTCTCTGTCTCTCTGCCCTGGCTCAGTCCCCCTGGAGGGGAAGCCGAGGATTCCCTGCATGGTTCTCGCACTGCAGGAAGGATTCCCTTGCAAGTTCAGGTTTTGGGCAGCCTGGGGTGGGGGGTCACCTTTCACTTTGTTGACTTTCTGCTCCTGACTGTCGTGGAACATCAAGGCAGGCCGGGACCCATGGTGGCTGTGCAGCCTTTCTGCAGTGTTTGGTTAAACACATACATGCACATACACATGCATGCACACACATGCACACACACATGCACATGCATGTACAAACATGTGCACACACAGAAACTGCTGATTGTTGTGCTGTCTGCACCAGCACACTGCAGAGAGGCCTTTCAGTGCGTCCCACAGCGAGAATAAAGACATAGTTATAATAATGGGGAGCCATGGGGGTCCTAAGCCCAACCAAGATGAAGGCCTCAACCCAGAGCCCAACCTGGGTTTTATGAACTCTCCAGGAGGGGAGGGGCTTGGGGATGAGTGACAGAGGGGCGGGGAATATGTGGGAGCTGAACTGGGCCAGGTAGGAGCCCTGAGGTCGCCTCTGCCATGTGCAGGGGGCCAGAAATGCAGAGAGAGTGACCTGCACAGCACAGCTGAGGAGGTGTCTAATAATCTGGAGTCCATGCCTCAGCTCTGGTGTACAATCTCGTCTGCCCTGGGAAGTCACAGCCTCTTTCTTGAGGCTCAGGCCCAGCCCATAGTGTGGAGCACGGCTCTCCATCCCACCTGGCTCAGCCACTTATTTGTGGGGTCGCTGGGCCGGGTGACACTGACCTTCACGTTGCTTCAGAGATGACACAGCAGCTCCCCAGCCAGCCCAGTTTACAGTGCTACAAGCCAAAGGGACAAAGAAATGGCCCAGCCAGCTCTGTGCATGTCAGTGCAGCCCTGCCATGTGGGTCTTGCCGTGTCTGGAGACAGCGCAGAGTTTACCCAAAATGGAGAGAGCTGCTCTTCCTCAAGGTCGTCCGGGTGGTTCCCACAGCCCAGCACTATTTCCCTTACTGCTATGATTTTATGTTCTGCTGGAAATCGCCACCAAAGGCTCTAAAATATTTCTCTCAGATCTGAGCATTGAAGAACATCAGAGCTGCTGTCAGGGCCACCAGTGTCCTGGGAGCCCAGTGTCGCCCTGCTCCTGGCCGGCTCCCTGTCCAGCAGGCTGCAGGCTGGCGTTTCCCCTAGGTCTGCGCTAGGGATGAAAGACCCCAGTGTGTGTGTGGACAGGTGGGCATGAAGCCGGTCACTTTCCCTGGCTGTGATCCCGTTCTCTTTCCTGGAGCCCGAGTTTCCAAGCCACCCTCAGGGAATCACCTCACCAAGTGTGTTGTGGAGACAGTGCACTGTGGGGGTGAGCCGGAGCGCTCAGAGCTAGGGGTGCTCTCGGATGAGGCCGCACAGCCAGCCACCCGTCTCCTGCTCCTTGCTGAGCTCTCTGTTGTCCAGGGACCCCGTACTGTGAGGTCCTGAGCACCTTTCCCAGGACAGATTCTTCCCTAAATGCAGCACAATTGCCCTGAGCTTGCCTTTGGTTTGCTGAAGGTGCTGAATTCTGAAACTGAGTATTTCAGCGGGGTCCCGTGACCCTGGAGTGCCAGCAGCCACACTGGCGTTGCTGAGGACCCCGCGTCTTGGGGATGGTGCCCTGCCAGCGGACGTCAGTGGGACCCTGGGCCCTTGAGGTCCGAGACTGGGGACCGCACGCAGCCATGCAGGCTGTGGAAGGTTGTGGGCGCTCCGTGCGGTGGCCGCGCTCTGCTGCTCTGTCTGTCACCGTCCTGCCCAGCTGTCTCCATGCCGTGTCTGTGTCCTGTCAGTGCCTGTGATGTCACTTCGATGCGGCCGCTTTAGAAACGGCCGAGCTCAGCGTCCTGTCTCTCAGCCGAGGGCCTGGATCAAAGCCGTGCAGTTGGCAGCCTCGTGTTCAGCTTGCAAGTACAGTGTCCACCTTCGTCCTGCTGGATCCCGAGAGCAGGGCGGGGAGGGCGCAGACCCCGGGCTCCGCCCTCCACTCATGCGCTGTGCTTTTGTCTCTGTCCTTCCCAGCCCTGCGAGCTCACAACCTCACTGTGTTCCTTCCCCACACCTCCACCTTTGTGCCCACCCGGGGCTCTGCCTACTCCAATCTCTCTGCGACCGTAGGTGAGCTCTCATCCGCTGTGTTCTGTGTTGTCCGGTCTGCATGTGCGGTGAGTTCTAGAGCTGGGTTCTGCAGGACTGCAGGGTCCTGGTCCAAAGGCGCAGGGACAGATGGACAAGGACACGCAAGAGAGAGAGAGAGAGGGCCAGGGTGAGCTGGGTGCTGTGGTGCAGTTATCCCAACACTGAGAGGCTGAGGCAGGAGGGTCCCAAGTTCAAGCCTTGCCTGGGCAACTTGGCAATATCCTGACTCAAAATTTAAAAAATGAAAAGGGGCTGAGGATGTGACCCAGTGCAAAGGCCCTGGGTTCGATCCCCAGTATTGAAAAACTTAAAAAAAATAAAACACAGAAAAGAAAAAAATAGAGGAAAAGGGTCAGGGTGTAATGACCCACGCAGAGTCCTGTCTGGAGGTGTGCGGGTCTCCTCTCCCAGCCCAGAGTCTCGTTAATCAGCTGTTTGTTTCCAGAACAGAACCCACCCAGAAATGGGAATTTTAGTTATTATACTTTTTTTGAATCCATTTTATTTCAAAGAGAAAAAAAGAAAAAAAATTCAAAACTCATCAAGCAGGGGCAACAATGGGACATACATTGTGCACTGTTACCCCCAAATCTTTTACCCAGAGCACAAGATCCCTGCATTCAATTATCCCAACAACACCAGCACAGAAATTTTAGCCAGCTGTGGTGGTGCACACCTGTAATCCCAGCACTTGGGAGGCTGAGGCAGGAGGATCACTGCGAGCTCAGTGCCAGCCTGGGTTACACAGTGAGACCCTGTCTCAAAAAAAAAAAAAAAAAAGAAAAAGAAAAAGAAAAAGAAAAAAACAAAACAAAAATTATAGTGAAAGGGTTTCTAAGAGTTGCATTCTTTGGGAGAGGAAAAGGATGCTCTTCCGTGGACAATTAAAGCTGCTTTACTTTGTGCAAAATGTGATCTCTCACAAGCAGTGAAGTCAGCATTTCTCGTGCAGCTGGATTTTAAAAGCGGTGGGAGCCGCCACGGCACACGCCTCCGCACAGGCAGTGAATAACTGCTGCCTTCCGGGACAGACCCAGAGCCCGCTCCCTTCCCGCTTCCCGGAGACTGAGACATTGCTTTGCGGGTGTAGACCGACAGCCCTGAGCCAGGCCTCAGCCTGCCTTTGGTCGGCACGTCGCTGGCTGCTGCCCCAGGGAGGCGGCTCAAACATTAATTCAGCCTGTAGACCACCAGCTCTGGGTCTGCACGGCCCAGCCTCGCTGTCCAGCCCAGCCGAGGGCCATCCTGGTGACCACAGCACTACGAGGCCTGCTGTGGGTCGGGTCTGGCCAGCCCCTGAGGTTCTGTCCACCTGAGGGCTACCATGACAGGGCCCCATGTGTTCTCCTGACCCTGGGCAGCCCAGGCAGCTGGGCTTGGTGTCCCCAGCAAAGGACAAATGCCCATCTCCGGGGTCATCACAGCTTCCCTGTGGAGTCTGTCCTCCGTCCACCTGGCCCTCGGGTCCACCAGCTTGGGTGCTAGCAGAGAGGCTCCCTGAGAGTCTGAAGTGGGGCCGTGCTCTGGCCTCGCGCAGAGGGACCAGAGTTTGGGAGGGGAGGGTGCGGGTGTGGATGCACACCCACGCGTGGCTGAGTCCCAGTGGCCGCTCCCAGAGGAGCCTGGACTGAGAGGCGGGCGGCAGAGGGCCAGCACGACTGTCACAGCCTCACTGGGTGTATACACGTGCACTGCCCCGGCTGGCACCAGCAGCTCGAGGTCTCAGTGTCACCCAGCACCGAGACTGAAAGTCCTGTCATTTAATGACTGGCCGTCACACATGCTCGTGGCGGGTCTGACCCGGGTGTCCTGGGGCCCGCGTCCCCTGCCAGGCCTCACGATCAGTCTTCTGTGTCCCCAGACCTCATGGAGGCGAAGGTCAACAAGAGCATCTACCTCAGGGAGGAGAAGGGGGTGACCCTGCTTCTCTACAACAGCTCCTCCTGCATCAGCAGCCCCGCGCGGTGCGGCCCCACGGGTGAGTGAGGGCAGGGGCTTGGGTCTTCCTCCTGGCTCGCCGGCCGGTGACCCCGCTTGGCCTGGTGGCCGACGGGCAGTGAAGCCCTCAGCAGCTGCGGGTGTGTGAGGCCGTCACGTTCAAGCGGGCAGGGGATGCAGGCGTCCCGCGGAGCTGCTGTGGCAGATGTGTTTAATTTTACAAAAGCAGAAGGGAAAAAAGCTCCTTCCTAAAACAGGGCCCGGTGGTGCCGTGGCCTTTGTGGGGAGGAAATTGCGGGGTGGCTCCCGCAGCGTTATTTCTGGCTCGGGTGGGGGCCGGGTGTGCCTGTGAACTCTGCCGGTGTCCACTTTCATGTCCTAAGGCAGCCGGGCTGTCCCAGCCCTGGCTGAAGCCATGCGGAGCCCAGGGCCCAAGTCCTGAGAGATGAAGATGTGGCTCCCCCTCCCGGGTAGGTGCCAGGGTCTCTGTCTGGCTCAGATGACGTAGACAAGGTGGATCTGAGACGGGTGGCTGCTCACCACAGTGACCAGGCCACCTTCCGGCCTGCAGGGCTGCTCCTTGGTGACATTGTAAAGATGTTCATTTCCAGAGGGAGGAGGCCCCTTCAGGTCCCCCAGAGCCCTGGGGCTCCTCGGCCTCGCCTGTGGGTCAGTGGTGTGAGCTCTGGGGAGGACGGGATCCACACTGGGGAGACGGAGGAGGCAGAGACACACAGGATGGGTGCAGATGGCCGCATAGACTCTGGGCTTTGTTCCCGCATCCAGACCTCACATGCCCCAGCTTGGGGACAGCAGTGGGAGACCCAGAGAACACCTGTCCTTGCCGCAGCTTGGGGAAGGGCAGGCTGCCCTGCACCCCAGGGTCCATCCCAGGTGACCCAAGGGGAGAGCCCCTGACAGCTGCCCGGGCCCCTGAGGGAGAGCTGCAGACTTTCCAGCACATTCCGGCCTCTGGCCATGCTGGGCCTGGCGGGCAGCAGGGTCAGACTTTAAATTATCCACCATGGTTGAGACTAGGGAATGTCCAAGGATGTCCAGTGTCCCGAGAGCCCCTGAATCCAATGTGGCCCCTGTGTGGTTCCTTCTCTGCATCTCGCAGCCTGGCTTGGGGCAGTGCTGGGGTTTGGTCCTCTCTGTGGTCCTTGGGCAGCCTGAGCTCTTAGAAGTAAAACAGGCCGATTGACACAGCCCCATCTCGGGGTGCGTGAAGACGGGAGGCCCCGTGGACCCCGCTTCCCAGCAGCTGCTCCTTAAGAGCCCGTTCGGGCATCAGCCCAGAGCTTGTGGCTCTGAACGCTTCCCCTCTCTCTTCTGCTCCTCTTCAGCCCAGCGCCACCCAGTGGGGTGACCTGGAGAGCGGCTGATTGCGCAGGGCACCCACAGCTCCCTGGCCTTAACCCTGGGCACTCTTGTACACCAGCATCAGCTCTGCTTGTGCCCAGAGACGCTTGCCTGCAGGATGGGGTGGGGTGGCAGGAAGAGCTGCCAGGCTTGGCCGGGTCCCCTCGTTAGCAGGCGCCTGACCGGAACCTCGGGAGCCCGCTTGCTTTAGAGCCTGGCCAGGTGCCCCCCTTGGGGCAGCGACGCTGGTGGTGGGCAGCTGCAGGCCTGGGCTGCAGGCGGTGCCTCTGCTGTGTCCTCTGACTGCCCGGCCTCCACGTGCTCCAGCACCTCAGGCAGCGGCTGCAGAGCCCCAGGGACAGCCAAGCCTTGAGGGACCTGGGCCGGGGGCTTCAGACACCACAGGCAGCCTCAGGGGAGCTCTCATGAGGGGAAACTGAGGCCTCAGAGGCAGCAGGATTGCCAGCACCACAGTGTGCTTTCTTCCTGATGGCCCAGGGACCAGTCCTGCAGGGGGGAGCTCCCAGGCCAGAGACCGTGGCCCCACGAGCCGTGTCCGCCTCCACCCCTTGGCTGGATGCTGCCTGGCTGGCACAGCCACACAGGCGGGCCGTGGGCAGCAGGTGGCTCCCGCGTCCGTGCTCCCACCTCCCACACGCCACGTCCCCGCTCTGTGCTCCCAGCCAGCTGTCACAGGGCTCTAAACGGTTTTTTAAAAATTCATATTCATGCCCTGTAGATGAGAAAATCTACATCTGTGACCTTTCTTTGAAGGTTGTGAGACCCCCAGGCTCCCTGCCCTGCGGCAGCTTCTGGCTCGGGCCGAGGCCAGCTCCAGGGGCCTCGACCAGGCTAGGGCCGAGGGGCAGCGGCCACTGCCCTGCTGGCTTTCACCATCTCCCCCGGCGTGAGCGGGGAGGAGAGGGCCCCGTGTTTGCCTCAGATGGGGTCGGTGATAGGGGCCTCTGGTGCCTGCGGAGATGGGGTGGGAGCAGTGTCCCTGCTGGGGGCTGTCTGTGTGTCCCCATGGCCCACAGCCCATGAGCATGGCTCTCCTGTCCCCATTTCTTGCTGGCACCCCCCGCAGGCCCCCCTGAGCCCTCCCCCAGCTCCTGGCTGCCCTCTGTGGCCTCCGTCACCCTCCCGCTCCTGCTCCCGTGTACAGAGCGGTTCGGCCCGGCCCTCTCTCCTCAGCGCTGTGTCCTGCCTGGACTCCACATCCTTGCTCTGCCCTCCAGGGCTGCTGGGCCTCTCCCTGGTGGCCGGGTCCCTGCTCTGCCTGAGGCTGGTGGCTGTGAGCCTGTTTCTGCGGTGTGGTGCGAAGGGACCCGGTTCCTCCCCGGCTCCTGCATTACCAGTGCCTTCCTGTCAGGCTGCTGACCCGCGTGGCACAGGGGCGATCTCCACCCCGTAGAACGTCGCCATCCACAGTCACCTTGGTCAGGTGCCCACGTGGCTTTGTGCCCTCTGTCCTCCTTGTGTTCTGGATGGCACAGGACTCAGCGCTCACAGTGAGCTCCAGGCCGGGGCTCCACTTACAGTGACCATGATGGCTCCGTTCCCCTGGACCTCACTGCCGTGCTGGCTGTGGTGCCCCCTAGATGCAGGCAGGGACCCCACAGAGACCTGACCACACCTCACACAGAGGCTGCTGCTGTGCCGGCCGGGCTGGGGTGAGGAGATCCTCGCCCTCCCCGCGGATCTGCACCTAAAGCCTGGATCTGAGGGGGCCGAGCCTCCTACTCTCTTTGGAAGATTCCTTCAAACGCTGATGAGAACCTTAAGCCTCAACATGCAGCACGGATGCTGTTTGGGCTGATTCCCAGGTTTCCCTGAATGGCAGAGGCTTGGAGCCCACCAAGGTTGCCACGTGGAGCCATCGCCATAAATGCGGGGACTCGCACAAAACTTCGGCTCATGGGACCCGCGGTGAGGGCGCCTGCCAGGGCACCGTGGCTGTGGATTCGGCCTCACTGAAGACGGCCAGAGTGAGCAGTGCCATTGACACAAAGGCCAGGGCCACTGCCCGCCCCTTCCTCCACCCCACGCTGTGACCAGCTGTGGACACTGCAGTTGTAACAGGGACCTTGCTCCGTGGGTCCCCCGGGGTCTGGGCCTGCCAAGCACTCGCCCTTGAATGTCCTGGGAACAGTCGCTGCCATAGTGATCTCAGACATCAAACACCTCAAAGCGTGCTCTGGTCAGGCAGGAGCTCCTGCAGAGACGGATTCTAAAGCCTGGATCTGAGGGGGCCGAGCCTCCTACTCTCTTTGGAAGATTCCTTCAAACGCTGATGAGAACCTTAAGCCTCAACATGCAGTGCGGATGCTGTTTGGGACGCAGCTCTGTGAGGACGTAGAGACAACAACCTGGCACTGCGTTGACGGGCACAGAAGGACCCACGGGCAGGCGGGGTTCTGAGTGTTATGAGCCAGCTGGCCCGGGAGGACCCCTTCCGCTGAGAAGCACATTGAGCTGTAGTTCTGAGACGCTGCCCGGCCGTGCGTGGACCTGGGCTGGCGCGGTGTCCATGCCCTGCATCCTCTGGCTCCGGACAGCTGTGTCAGGGGCCTCGGAGTCCTGTCTGAGCAATTGGGCAGCAGCAGGGCCACTGGGCCATTCCAAGGGATGCTTTCTTGGGCCCCCAGGAAGGTGCCTGGCGCCCGGGAACCCTGGACCAGGACAGCGGTGATGCCCCATCCCCTGTGCCTCCGTCCACTTACCCTGCCCTTCCTCTCCCCAGGCGTCACCTTTTCCTTTTTCTGGAAGATCCAGGGAGAGCAGTCCCGGCCAGCCCCTTCCACGTACGGGGGACAGGTCATCTCTGACGGCTTCAAGGTCTGCTCCAGTGGCAGCCGGGGCTCTGTGGAGCTGTACACGCGTGATGACTTCATGATGTGGGAGGCTGCCTTCAGCCCGCTGGGTGAGTAGCATCCCTGGCCCTGGTTAAATTTTGTCCTTTTCTTCCCCTTCACCGCCTCCTCTTCCTGCCTGTCTGTGGAGGGACAAGCTGCCTGGCACAGGGAAGGGGAGCTGGGGGGCACACGGCTGTGGCCTGGGAGGAGACTTGGTGGGCTGGAGGACACAGGGCCCTGTGGGAAGGCTGGGGTACAGGGCACAGAGCCCAGGGTGGCGACTTCCCTGTGGCGGGATGCCCATCTGTTGGCCTAGGCTGGAGGCTGGACCAGAAGCTGGAGGGCCGGGCAGGGCTGCAGTGGACCCTGGAGAAGGGCAGAGGGGGCCTGTAGGGACAGCCCAGGCAGTGACTGGGAGACAGGTGGGGTGGAGGGCGGGAAGGAGGCCAGGGATGGCCTCTTGGGACTCTCAAGGGTGTCCCTTCCTGGCCTGTCCACGGTGGCTCCATGGTTCACTCCCTAGAAAGCCTGGAAGCGGAGCCGGCTGGCCTGGCCACCCGCCTTGGGCCCTGTGACCTTGAGCCTTGGTCTCCACGTTGGTTAGATGGGGACAGTATCAGCGCCACTGTAGGAAGGCAGAGCGGGGTTAGTGGAGGCCCGGGGGTCTGGCAGCTTCAGCAGGGCTCGAGGCTTTCAGGGGAGCACGCACCCCACCCTGGGAGTGAGCAAACAGAGCAGAGCGTTCTTAGAATTCCTCCTCCTGGATCCTCCAGACGGGAAATTACGTCGCCTCCTGTCCCCACAGTGCTGCGGTCTCTCTGGGGCTCCTCCTCCCGGGCTCTGGGTGCGGCCACCTTTCCTGTGGGAGCCTCAGCCCAGGCACGGGACCAGGCTCGGGCGGGTTCTCGGGACTGAACTTGGCTTAGATCCCTGAACTGGAGACGGGGATCGCCACAGTCCACTCGCACGGGAAGGGAGAGCTTCCCTTACAAGTGTCCTCCAGAGATGAGAACTGTCAGTAAGGTACACGGTCCAGGGTCAGGGGCCAGGGCTGAGCGTGCCCTTTGGGAGAGCTGCCCGGTCCCTCCAGCCTCTGAACACAGCACTTGCCCAATGCAGGGAACACAGCTGGCCTCAATGCGCTGTGGGTGAACACGGAGGCTCTGGGTCAGAGCTCCCCGAGGAGCTGGGAGCTGGTCTCTGTCATATCCGTCAGCTTCCCTGGCTCAGAGCTGAGGTTGGCACCGTGGTCACAGGCCCGAATCGGGGCCTTGGTGGTTTTGCAGATCCGCCTCAGCCTCCCCGTGGCCGGCGTGCCCCCCGTAGAGGCTCTTGCTGTGACTGATGGGCTGACACCGATGTCCTGGTCACCCAGGGCCCACTGTTCCCGCCGGGGACTGAGTGGGCTGTGGGCAGCAGCGTCCTCTGTTCAGACCTTTTGTCCGCGCTCTGTTCAGTGGGTTGCTGAGTTCCAAGGGTTCTCTGTGTGCTGCAGGCCTCAGGGGCCAGAATCACGCCCTTCACAAAGCTCCTCTCCCGTTGGCGGCCGGGGCTGCCCTTGTCCTGACAGCACCTTTCTCGGAGCAGAGGTTCTTAGCTCTAATGAAGCCCGCCTGTCAGCTGTTTCCTCCATGGGCTGTGCCTTTTGTTCTGATGGGAAGGTCATCACCACCCAGGCCCACCCCAGTGATGCCAGCCCTTGGGAGGCTGAGACAGGAGGATGTTGGGGCCAGCCTGGGCTGCCCAGCGAGTTCGAGGTGAGCCTGAGCCACGTGGAAAGACCCTGTCTCAAACAAACAGCCACAGACAGCGAAGGTCACTGCCAAACTCCAGGGCATCTGGATTTTCTCCTGTGATTTTCAGGAGTTTATAGTTTTACATTTTATATTTGGGTCCATCATTCACTTTGGCTTGGCTTTTGTGGTGGGTTTGACGTCTGTCTAGAGTTATTTCTCTTTTGTTTTTGTACTGAATCTCCAGTTGTTCTTGGGCATGCCTGGCTGGGCTTCTGACCCTGGGCTGCCATCTGTCTAACTCTCCAGCCCTCCCACGCTCCCTCCATTCTGACCAAGGTGACCGTCCAGTGAGTCTTGCAGGCCGGTGGTGTCTGTCCTCCAAGTCTATGTTACCCTTCACTGATGTGGGTTTCCTGGGTATCTACCTTTGCATAGAAACTGGAGAATCAGTTTGAGGCAAGTGAGACCTGAACACCGAAGGCCCTCATATTTCTTTTCATTGCATGAATAAGCGATGGTGTGGGTTTATTAAGAGTACAGGTTTGACCAGTTCATCAGGGTTCGGAGGAAAGCGCTGACTTTTGCGTGCTAACCTTGTGTCCCCAGTCCTGCTCTAACCACTTACTGAGCTCGTGTCCTGCCTTTTAAAAAGTATCCGCTCACCTCGGCTCGCAGGCGTTCACCTTTGTGGCTCCCACATTTAGATCATAGTCTTCTTAAACTACCTCTGAGGATGGGGCCGGAGGGCAGCCTCTTTCCTGGGCTCTAGGGGACTGGAGAAGCTCAGTCTCTGCTGTGGCCCGCACAGGGCTCCCCAAGTTTAGGTCAGCAGTCCTGGTAAGATGGGGGCGCACAGGGACAGGAAGGGCTCGCGCCGGGAGCTGGTCCCACCCGCCTAGAGCCGCCACCTCCTCTCCTCAGGCCCTTACTGGACTCACGTCCTGTTCACCTGGAAATCCAAGGAGGGCCTCAAAGTCTACGTCAACGGGACCCTGAGCACCTGGGACTCCCGCGGGAGAGTGTCGCGGGACTACGGGGAGCCCAGCACGAACCTGGTGATCGGGTCTGAGCAGGACCGGACCCAGTGCTATGAGAACGGCGCTTTTGACGAGTTCATCTTCTGGGAGCGGGCGCTGAACCCAGCCGAGATCCGGATGTACTTCACGGCCGCTGTCGGTCAGTGAGTGTGCCCCGGGCTCTGTCCTGGGCACCCCCTGCCCCCTGTTTCCCCCTGTCCCACCGCGGGCAGTGTGGTGGGTGTGAGCAACATCCCTACAGACCTCTCAGCACTGTCCTGTTCCACAACATAAGACAGAGGAGCTAACGAGCTTCATCGTTAGGTGGTCGTGGGAACTGAACTCAGGGCCTTCTAATAAAGTTTTAGTCTTTTGAGCCAGGGTCTCACTGTGTAGCCCAGGCTGGCCTTGAATGCACAGTGATCCTCCTGGGTCAGCCTCCTGAGTGCCAGGAGCACAGGTGTGTTCCAACACACACAAGTTTATTTTTTATTTCGAGGCAGGGTTGCTAAGCCACTAACTTGAACCTGGGCTCCTCCTGCCTCAGCCTTCCAGGGTGCTGGGATTCCTGGAGGAGTGACCCATACACAACCCTCCCTCTGGTCCCAGCTCGAAAGTGTGTGTGCTGGAGGCCCACAGCGGTCAGGGATTTGAATATTCAGGCCCTCAGTGCACTAAACCCCGAATGCCCCAGCAGCGTGGAGCACAAGGGGCCATCTCTGCTGGGCGCAGGGAAGGTTGGGCGGATCAGGATTCAAATATCCACGCTAAAGGGGCCGTGCCGGGGGCGGCCGGGAGTCACTTTTGAGAAACCGAGGAACCCTCCCCGTCACGTCAGTTTAACCACTTAAAAGTGTGTGCCGCCTCCTGCTTGCCCTTCAGACCTGTCCCCACCATGTCCGCACGGCCACACTGTTCCCAAGCATGTACACAGGTGCAGTGATGGCCGCAGGTCCCTGGAGAGGCCCTTTCTCTGAGGCCAGCCGGGCAGGGCACTCCTTCTCCCCATCGACCACTGTGGTGCCATCCACGGGGTGAGTGCCTCTCTGTGCCCTTCAAAGGTGACTGCTGGCCCCTGCCATGCCAGCCAGGCCCGACCCTGCCAGCAGGATGGGGGAAGGGGCGCCGTGTGCTGGGCACTTGCAGGGTGAGGCCTGCGTCTCCCTGGCCTCCCGTGGTCACCATGGAGCAGAGCTCCATGGCCCTTTTTGCTGTTGTCTTGCTTGAGTCAAACGTAGGTGTGATGTGGCCTTGACTCCTGGACGCCGAGGAATGCGTGTCACCGGAACAGAGGAGCAGAGCAGCTTGGGGCCCAGTTCTCCCATCAGTGTGGTGTCTGGGTCCGCCGGCCACTAGGGGACAGTGAGGCCACCAACGTGGTTTCCTCAGGCCACCCAGAGAGACTGGAGACGGCTTCCCCAGCCAGAGCAGCCCCTGTCCTCAGAGCTCCCGTCCTTGCTGGACAGACAGTTCTGCAGCTTCCCCTCGACCTCACCCGGGCATGACCGAAGCCTGTTTTTCATGATTTGTTTTAAATCAGTGACATCTTGCATAAAAATCACCTTCTTATGTGATGAGTCGCATGAATGGTATGCAAAAGCAATTCAGAATATAAATGGAAAAGTAATTCGAGCTAGGAAAATCTATATAATCTACCTATTAAGCTGATTTATTAGTTCTTTATCTTTTCAGCAACATTTCTACTCAAAACATCACAGCCTGTCAGTTGCGGGGTGACAAGCCAGCTGTCGGGGTGCACGCCTGTAATTCCAGCACTCGGGAGGCTGAGGCAGGAGCGTTGTCATGAGTTCAAGGCCAAACTGATCTACATAGCCGGGGGGAGGGCTTAGTGCCGAGTAAGCCTCCTTCATCTTTTCCAGGAAAGCACCGTCTGCCGTCCTCCACCCCGCTGCCCAGCGTCACGATGCTGACGGCCATCGCCACGGTGAGCCTTGGGCTTTGACCTCGCCCCTTCCGGTGTCTGTGCCTGCACGGGGGGCCAGGAGGGCAGAGACTCACTAATGACCGGCTCTCTTACTGGCCCTGGAAAGCAAGAGTAAACAGAAGGGACGCCGACCTGGGGAGCTGACCGAAGGCAGGGAGCCTGGGTTCCTGTCGCAGGGACCCCGGTGCTGGAAGGGGAGGGGGCTGAGATTCCTGGGACAAATAACGGCCCGCTGGTGTCCTGCCCCGGCTGAGCGTCCTGCAGTATCTTTGCTTTTGACAGCCGAAGAGAGAATCAATTTGTACAGCAAGCCTCGCTGCCCCAGTTAGCCTGTGTAGCCAGAGGCCGTCCCTGTGGAGAACCTGGGGCAGGGTGGGATTTGAAGCCTCCCCTGGCCCCGAGGCTGGTTCTCCCTCTCCCTGTGCGCGGCTCCCTGAGCCCACGCCTTCTATCCAATGGACTCTTCTGTCCTCTGCTGCAAGGCAGTCACAGCAGGCCCGGTGGGGTGGGGCCTTCACTGCCGTCACGGGCTGGGGGTCCTCGGCCCGCAGCAAGGCCCTGGCCTTGGTTCCCCCGGGAACTCCATGGCTGGTTTCTCTCAGGTGCCCAGAGATGCCTACCACCCCATCATAGCCAACCTGACAGAGGAGAGGAAGAACTTCTCGAGGCCCCACGTGGCACTGAGCTACCTTCGAAGCATGTCCCTCAGCTTACCCAACAAGTCCCTCTCGGAGGAAACAGCGCTGAACCTCACGGAGGTAAAGCCCTGCGGTGCCCGAGTCAGGTGCACCAGGGCCAGCGTGAGGCTGGTCCACGGCCTGGCGTTAAGAGGCAGGAGCCTTTGTGTAAAAGTCAGGGTTTGGGCTCCTCATGGACTGACCACAGCTGACAGCGCCATGGAGCTCAGACTTGTGTCTTCAATTTTTTTTTTTTTTTTTTTTTTTTTGAGACGGGGTCTCGCTGTGCAGTTCAGGCTGGCCCTGAGCTCACTTTGTAGCACAGGATAGTCCTGAATCACAGTGACCCTCCTGCCTCAGCCTTCCTGAGTGCTGGGATGACGGGAGTGTCCCCACAGGCCAGGCATCTTCAATTGTCTTAATGTCCAGCCTGCCTGGTACCTCCAAGCACCTCCTGTGCTCCTGGAACATTTGGGTCCAAGACTTCTAGTCTGGATCACGCTAGGGCTCCGACAGGTGGGCCAGAGCCACGGTCTGCACTCAGTGGGAGCCTCAGCGCTGTGCCAAGCAGTCCTAGAATGCAGGCCCGTGGCAGGCACTCAAACCGGGAGGCCTCCTCAAAGCACTCTCTAGGTGGAGCAGAGGGGCAGGTAGGGTCTTGTTGTGCCAGGGCCCTTGCTGGTGCGGAGAGAGGAGGGGTGTCTGAGACGGCTCCCTGTCAAGGCACCTGGAGGGTTTATAAAGTCACGGAGGTGTCCCTGTGGGGCTCCCGGGTGCACACACAGTCTGCTGGGCACCGAGCCCATCTCGAGGGCTCTTGACTTCCTTGCTGTCTGTTGAAGGCTCCCAGGCAATGCACGGCAAACCATGTGCTTGCTGAAGGTGACACCGTGCTCCCGTTAGCCACCCTGTCAGGGTGAGATGCTGCAGACTGCACCACTCACAGCAGGCAGCCACGCCTGGCTGGGGCTTTGGGGAGAGAGAGACATGGGTTTTGGAAACTGCTAGGGAGGAACGGGCACAGGTATGGGGAGGCAGGGCAGCCCGGCTCTCAGCTGGTGCTGGTGCTTGAGGCTGTGCTGAGGAGACACATGTCGCGAATGGGGCTTCCAAAGGGGCCGGTGATGGTGGTGGGAAGCTGGGTAGCCTCCTCTCTGCTCCAGGGACAGCTCGCAGGTCCCTCTTAGCATGGATGGTACCATCTCACAGGACCTGGGCAGTGCCCGCTGTCTCACCCATGGCTCTGAAGAGGGGAGGGGCCAGTGACTCCTAGTTATAGGACAGAGTGCTTTCTATGATGCTCTGTAGCAACCTAACACATTTCATTGTTCAGAGTCAGGTCACGTGACCACTAGTAGACCAATCACTGGTGGGAGGTTAAAACTGGTGTTATGGCTCAGCCAACCTGTAGGATCTCTGAGAGGGCAGGACTGCCTCTGTGGGAGCCCTTCCAGCTCCCATGGGAAGGGCAGGCTCGGGTCCCCCGGATTTGGACAGCCTCACAGGTCCTTAGGCATGTCAGTGGAGGAGGCTGTGGGGCTCACCGGGACAGGGCCTGGTATGCAGCAAGTGCTTCGTTAGTATCAAGCTATACTTGTTTCTGTGGAGCGAGGCCCTGTGGGGTCACTGGGATGGGGGTGCCTTGTACACAGCTAGCACCCAATACGGGCCTATTCTTGGTGCCAGTGCTCTGTCCTCTACCCAGCAGTGTGTGCAGATGGTTCATAGTCAGCATCTGCCTTGTGCCAGTGCCCTGCCCGCCCAACGGTGGTGCATGCAGCTGGAGCATAATCACCGCGTGCTCTTGGTGTCAGGGCCCTCGAAGCAGAGTGGTCCCCGGGGCTGGTCCTCAGGGCTGTGCTGTGGGTGCCGAGGCACAAGCCCCCATTTCTGGCTGTGTAGGGACGGAGGCAGCTCAGACAAGGCTTCCTCAGGACTTTGCCAGACGCGGGCTTGTGAGCGGAGCGGATGAGCTCACTGATGAGAGGGGTTAAGGCGTCCCCTGTGTGCTCCCCGTGCCCTGTGCCTTGGTAACGGGCTCTGTGCAGCCTGCCCTGGGCTGGCCTCGCACTTCGGGGGCTTCGATCACATCTGCAGAATGCAGGTTAAGAGTGAGGACCTTGGACAGACTGCCCTGTAAACACCAAGTGGGCAGAAGTGTGGGGGCGGCAGTTGGGTCTTTTTGATGAGGCTGCCGTTTAACTCTGGGGCCGACGGCAGGAGATGGGTGCAGGGGCGTGAGGCCGGCCATGGGGCGGCTGTCGGTGAGCACTGGGTGAAGTGACCTAAACTTCTACTATTTCAAAAAAAAGAGCAGGAATTCCACACTTTTCACTTAAATCTCCCACCCAATATGAAAATGTTAAAACGTAATGTCATTTTTGGGATACAATCATGAACTGAACCAGAAGTGGCTCTAAAGAAGAACGTGTTCCAGGGGCTGGGGATTTAGCTCAGCGGCATAAGTGCCTGCCTTGCAAGCAGGCAGTCGTGAGTTCGATCCCTGGTACCGATAAAAAGGAAAAAGGCAAAAAAAAAAAAAAAAAAAAAAAAAAGAAGAAGAATGTGTTCCTAAGCCTTTGCTGTCATGGACACCCCCAGGTCTCAGCAGTGGACTCAGGGCCCTGCCGTAGCCACCAGCATCGATGTCCACTCGGCTGGTGGACATTATTATATTGGAAAGCAGCCTGGAGCCTTAATACTCCAGGGAGCTGCCCCGGCTCTAGGCTGTCTACTCAAGATAGTGGGGTGGGAAGGGGGGACCCCAAGGTCTTGTGTGGCTAACAGTGTCATTCTGCTGCCCTTAGACCTTCCTGTGGACCGTGGGCGAGGTGCTGCTGCTGCCCGGCTGGAAGGCGGCGTCAGAGGTGAGAGAAACCACTGCGACCTTCGCTGGGGACACTTGGTCACGTAGCAGTGGCCCAATTCACGTCCCTAAGGGTGGTGCTGCAGTCTCCATCCCCATGTCACCTACACCTTCCCCAGAGCCGCATCTGGCCGTGGGGATGCGGGACCAGTCTGCGTCCAGCACCCACGGGTGGGCCCAGGTCTCCCGATTCACCTCACATGGGTTTTACACAGTCACAAACGCGCCTGATGCTGAAAGATAACAGGGTCAAATATAAAATGAACCCCCAAGAGGATCCGGGCTCCGCAGTAGAGCGGGCCATCGCCTCCTGCACTCGAAATGATTCGAGGGAATTAAGGACTTCATTCTGAAATGCTGATTTCACAGTAACACCAGTCAACAAATGGCTGTGGAAAAGCTGGGAATAAAGACATAAGGAGAATAAAGTCACCAGAAATCGGGATGCCGGGCACAGATGGCTCCCAGCCACCACGCAGCCCCTGGGGCCTGGGGTTCAGTCCACACGGACGCAGACGGGTTCTGCAAACATGTCGCAGGCCTGGCTGACCCGGGCCCCCAGTCCCGTCAAGGCCACTGGGACGTGGAGCACTGGACTGCAGTGCCCTGTTGGTTAGGAGAGTGGGGCTGAGCTGTGGTCACGGCAGACTCCACGTCCTGCAGCTCTGCACCCCGGAACCCTGGCTCTGTCTCTCTGCCGCTGCCCTCTGTGGCTCCCAAGGTGCAAACAGAGGCGGAGCAGGAGAGTGGGGTGCGGGCATCTCCTCTCCACCTGCTTCAGTAACACGCTTGTGTGGCAGTTTCCTGCTGACAACCTTTGCAATGGAAGAGCTTCCCACGGGGTGTGGTTAGGGTTAAGCGAGAGGAACATGTCCGGAGTGTAATTGTGACGCAGTTGTACCTAGAAACCATGCTCCTTTAAGAAGGAGCTTGGGATTTGGAGGGAGTTTGTCCCCCAAGTCCCCGAGGCGGCCTGCGGGGCACTTGGGCAGATGGGCTTCTGGTTTTGAATGCAAAATATTCAAACCTGGCCTCACGTAAGCAGTGCCAAAGCCTTGGAGCCGGCAGGCTCCGGTGTGGGTCACAGAGTGCGTGTACAGCTGCCCACCCCCAGCACACGTCGGCAAGCAGCCCGTGCTGAGTTCCCCTTGGTGGTGGAAGCCAGGTCAGAGCCCCAGGAGAAGGCCGGCTTGGCCCTGGTGTCTGTAGACAGTGTCTTTCAGGGGCCGGGGAGGGGCAGGCAGCCTGGGGGCAGAGGTGGATCCTCGTCCTGTGAGTCTGAGGGTGACTTGCGCCCCACGGATGACAGAGACACGTGACTGGGGTCCTGGCCATGCAGTGGCAGCGTCCACTGGGCCCTCCTGGCCTTGGGCCAGCGCATGGCAAAGAGGCCTCATGCTGCTTCTCTTTCTAGGACAAGGCCTTGGTGTCTGGCCTCATCAACACCATCGACGTTGTCCTGGGCCATGTGTCTCTGAAGCTGCATGGCCGCAGGCCCGAGATCACCCTCGAGGGCTCCTCTCCTGTGGCAGGTGGCCGTGGTCGGTGGTGGGTGGTGGTGAAGGGGGCCAGGGGTGCTGGGCCCACTGTTGGCTCCAGCGTCACCCGTGGGAGCAGGAGCTGGACAGGGAGCCGGACACAGGGCCACATGCATGGTTCTCAGAGATGCAGGCACCTGTCCCTCAGTGTCTGCATGCATAGCAGAGAAGTGGTCTCAGAGTCAGGGGTTGCTGGCGTTACCAGGGTAGCAGGTGTCACGGGAGGCTGACGTATGGCCTCCTGCTCTGTGTCTTCCATGGGAGCAGCCACAGCCATGGTTTACACAGCGGCCACGGCCAGAATCTCAGCTGCCCAGAGGGCAACCTTGGAGGCAGTGTGGCTGCCCGTGGTCACCTCCAGGCCAGGGTGCACCTGCTTTGTAAGCTGTGTCATTTTTCAGGGTCTTCTCAGGTCCGCAAGCCTGCAGAGCTGTAGCTGTGGGGTCTTCGTATCTCCCAGCTGGCTGGACATGAGGAGCAGGGTCTCCTGGCGGAGCGCTTGCCTGGGCCTCAGCCCCAGCTCCCGCAGTGCTGGCCTCGCTGGGCATGTGTTGCTTTCAGTCCTTGTTCACCAAGGCAGTCTCACTGAGGGCTGCCTGGCTAGGAGAGGAGGGGTCCGCAGCCCTCAGCTCCGCAACTGGAGCCCACTGAGCTGACCTGCACCCCTGTCCCGCCCACAGATTTCTCTGTCACCAAGCTCCTCCCGAGGTCCCTGAGCACAGCTCACTACCGCTTTCCTGCCCACGGGGACAGCTACATCGAGATTCCCGGGGAGGCCCTCCGTGGCCCGGGTGAGTGTGACATGGGCTATCCAGGATGACCCCACTCGGGACAGCCGCACTGGTGAGGCTCCATCCAGGCTCTGGGTTCCAGCCTCCCACACGCAGCGAGTTCATGCGGAGCCTGGCCTCGGGTGCCTGAGAAGCGAACCGGCTTCTGTGGCCTCCTGTACCCTGGGCGTCCGGGTCCTCTGCAGAGGGCTTGGGCGGTGGCTCCCGGGAGCGGTGTCGCCAGCCCGGCTGTGCTCTGCTGCTGGGGGACAGGGGTAGCAGTTGTCCAGGTTGGGATCTCACCTCCCTCTGCTCCTTCCATGTGTGACGATGTCCCGGCTCTGCTCTGTCCCCAGCCTGGACCACCCTCGTGGGCCTTTCTTACCACTCCATACACAACTTCGTGAGCAGCATCCCCCCGGCCAGCACTAAGTGAGTCTCTCGGGGTCCTGCAGTGGAGGGGAGGGGCTGGGGTCATGGGATAGGGTTAGGGTTAGGGCCCACACTGCATCCCGGGGGGCTGGCTCCTTTCCCACAGTGTGCTAGGCCTCTCCTTGGAGTGGACGCCCTGTCCAGCCACTCTCTCCCCACTGATGGTCAGCTCTCCTTGGCTTCATCTTTTAGAGCAAGTGTCCAGCCAGAGAAGGAACCTCTTTGTTCAGCATCCTCACCTGAGGCCCCTCGCCCCTCCCTGGCATGGCTGGGGCACTGACCTGGACAGAGGGCTGGACACTGGGCCAGGGGTCACCTGGAGGGAACCACAGTAGCAGACACCCCTGCACCAGCATCTGCACACCACTGGGTCATGGTGCAAGGGAGTCCACACAGGCAGGCAGGAGTCTGCCAGGGTCATACAGCTGGTCAGACAAGGTCACCGTGTCCCCTTACTTCCCAGGATTCCTGTGGCGGCCAGCTGCAGAGATGGCCTGCTGTTTGCTGTCAGCCCTCTCATCTCACTGGAGGTGCGCCCCCCACCTGCGCTGTCCCAAAACCTCTCCGGGCCTCCCCTGGTCACCGTGCACCTCAGACACACACTGGTGAGTTGGCTCAAACCCCTTCCTGATGCACACCAGAGTCTGGTCAGCGCCGAGGGGCCACTGGAGGGCATCTGAGCAACATGTGAGGAGCCCAGGTCCTCTGTTCCTGCGGGGTTCCGCAGCCCCTTCCCTGTGGCTTTGTGAGACCCACGGCGGACAGCTTGTGGATGGCAAGCGGTGCCGGTCATGCAGATGGTGGTCGGGTGGCCTTGGGGGCCATGTGGAGCCCTTGTGGTGTCTCCAGTTCATGGCAAGTGTCTGCTTGGAGAAGGGGTGTGTGTCGTTGGGCTCTCCCGCATCTCGCTGACAGCGTCAGCACAAACGGCTGCTGTTCTGAGAGGCCTTTCCTGCTCCGGGGTCCATGTGCCCAGCTGGTTGCCTCCATGCCTCAAAACCACAATTCTGCCTGGAGGATTCCCCCTGGCCAGTGCATGTGGGCAGACCTGGCTCAGAGGGCATGGCTTCAGAGGGCGTGGCCAATTTGGAGCATGGGGCAGAGCGTGGTGGGGGGCGTGACCCCAGTGGATGGCTACAAGAGGGTGCAGCTTCCCCCCAAAGTGTAACTATGGGCGAGGTTTGGGGGTGTGTCCCTAGGGCAGGGCTCCAGGAGTGGACAGGTGCCCTCTGCTGGGACGGTCCTCCTCCAGTTTGACCGGCACAGCACAGCAGTCACAACCAAGAAGGCTGAGCCCAAGCAGAGCAGCCTCTGTGTCCAGGCCAGTGGGCCCTGTGCGTCGAGAGCTCTGGGTGACCCCAAAGAGCTGGGGCAGGAGGAGGCAGAGGAGCAGGGTTGACAGCTACAGAGTCAGGGCTTGGTGCCCCCAGACACCAGGGAGTCACCCGTGCACATGTGCCCTTCACAGACACGTGCACACTCACCTGTCACATGCACACAGCACGTGCACAGCACGAGCCACAGTGCACACACAGATGCGCAGTGCACACCCCCCATCTATGACTATCTCCCACACATCCCACACCTGCTCCTGGTGCTTACACTGCACCCACCGCGGCCCCGTCTGCCCAGGCTGTGGGAGCTGCAGTGCAGGGTGGCACTGAGGTCCTCCTCTGAGCCGTGGCCCCCACCCTCTCTGGCTGTCTCCTCGTGCCCTTCCTCAAATTCCTTCTTCGCCCTGTGGTACTGAAGGCACAGTGTCACTGTGCACCCTGCCTGCCCATCCTGGGACCCCTCTATGCCAGCCCCCAGGTCTTGCTCACCTTCCACATCTAGCCTGCCCTTTCCACCTTCCAGCACCCAGGTGTCCCAGGCTGAGGTGGCCCCCAGTTCCCCCAGCACTCAGAGAGCGGGCTCTGGGCTGCAGGGGCTCCCTCCACCTTTCTGCACCCCGTCTTTACCCTTGGCAGCATCAAAGACAAAGCAGGCGGCTCTGCCGTGTGCTGTCAGCTGCAGACCAGAGCACACCAGCCTGAGGTCTGTCTCACCCGGTGAGTGAGATCCGAGGAGCAGTCGGGGAGCAGTACGGCCGTCCCCCCCAGGAAGTGTGAGGCAGGAAGCAGGTGCGGCAGGGGACGCAGTGTGGGATGCCCAGGGTGGAGGCAGAGGGAGGACAGGAGCCGGGCGCGGGTGCCAGGGCTCCCTGGCTGGCAGGAAAGAGCGGTCCTGGCAGCTGCTGGGGGATCAGAGCTCCAGGGGAGCCGCTGCAGCCCTACCTGGGTCTGCAGTGTGGAACTGTGCGCCTTCTTTCTAGGCCGTGGGCTGGGGAGGGTCCCAAGGCATCGCTGTGAGGAGGCTCCTTGGGGCCCGAGCTGCTCCCAGCGCCCCAGCTGGCAGCAGCGCCCGCCGGGAGTTGCCTGCTCTCCCCCTCCCGCCACAGCCCGCACGATTGATGGGAGCCGGGTCGAAGATGCACTTTTGTCTTCTGTGAAACGTGAAGGTGCCAATTTGGAAACCAGAGCAAAAGAAAGGGTGGCCTAAAATGCCGTCCTTGCTCTAACGATCGGTTACGATAGCTATTTTTACCAAAGCAAGTGTTTGAATAGGAATCCCGGCTCGGGAGAGGAGAGAGGCGGAGGGGAAGGTTTGTCACGCAGAGAGGTTGGTAACGAGAGGTGTGGTGGCCAAGCATCCTCTGCAGCTCGGGGCTTCTCCCCTGAAGGTCGCCTGTGTGTCCCTGCCAGCCTGTCGGGGCCAAGGCTCTGTGAGTCTGGCTGCTGTGTGAAGGGGAGCTCTTGCCCGTGGGCATGTGGGGACAGATGTCCTTCCCGGGAGGCCCCTGGCCTGTGTCCCTGGTCTGGTCGAGGCAAGCAGGGTGCAGAGGTCACAGCATGAGGGCAAGGTCTCTGGCAAGACTGAAGTGGGTGGGTGGGGGGCCCCTGAGAGGCCCTGGAGGGCCCAGGAATTCGGGGTGCCTGAGCCACCAAGGCCCAGGACGTGGGGACAGACTGCCTGCTCAGGCCTCTACTGGCTGCGCTGAGTCCTCACTGAGCCCTCAGGGACAGAGGACGATGGTCCGAGGAGGGCCTCTCCCTGTCCCCCGCTGTGCCCACCTGTGCTGAGAGCAGTGGTCACAGCCAGGTGTCCCTCAGTGGGGTCACTGTACTGCCTGATCGCTTGGTCTGTGGCTGGTCACTCCCCATTCAGACCTCAAGCATGGGCCTTTTCTGTGCTTCCCAAGTGGGAATACTTGGGCCAGGCTGGGAGCACCCCAGCAAGCAGCTGATGGTTTCCTCTCGTGGCGAGGTGGTGGCTCCCGCAGAGTCTCCCTAGGATCTGCTGTGGGTGAGGGACAGGTTTCTAGTGAGTTCAGTCTCTTCCCTTGCTGTGGTCATTCCCTGGTGCCGGGGCCTGGGTGTCCCTGTGGACTGCAGACTGACCTGGCTGTTGACACAGACATACATGTGCACACATGCACGCACACACACACACAGATGCACACATGCATGCACAGCTCACGTCCTCCGACCCTCTCGCCCCAGGCTGGAGACAGTGGCTGTGAGCATCCCGAGGGGTTTGCTCCTGGACTTCTGGGGTGTCCCAGTGCCGCTCGCTCTGGGACCACCGTCACGGCTCTGTCATAGTCCACGGCCACCAGCCTTCTGCTGCTGTGGGTCTGCTTTGCTCCTGTGTCCTCCTGACCATGTGAGCACCGTGAGGCACCTCTGTGCACCCTCTCTGCTCTCGATCTGGCATCATTTCTTAGAAATGGCAATGTCTGTTATCAGCAGCACTTTAACCCTGGCCTTGAACTGGTTTGGGATGTTTAGACCAGATCCATGTTTATCTCCTCACAGAGAGAGCCTGGAATCGCAGGCCTGGAAAGCTCGAGCAGGGGTCAGCACACACAGGTTCTGGGCCAGCCCCTGGGCAGAGCGAGCCTGGCACAGGTCGCACTCGATGTGCTGGTCCTCCCACAGTGACCCTGGGTGCCCGGCTTGGGCAGCAGGACATGGCCTGCACCAGCGCCCCTCGAAGGTGCAGCTGCGGGGAGCTGGGCCGCTGCTCTGTGGCCATCTCGGGACCCGCTTTCCCGATCATGTGCACATCTCCGTTTGATGCTGTAGGCATGGAGCGACGGGGTCAGGGCGCACGCATGTGGTACTGATGATGACCCCAGGCAGCTCTCCCTGGGCAGCACCAGCTCCTGCTCCCCCTGAGAAGGGCGAACCCCACCGCCAGTGCCCGAATTGTTACCCACAGCTGTCCTGGTGCCGGCTCCCCCGTGAAGTTGCTTATTTCTCAGGTGTCCTGGGCGTGTGGATGTGATTCCCTTTTCCAGCTGTGTTGGCTTGTGTCTGTCAGCCGTCTGATGCTGGTCTCGTATTGATTCGGAGGCTCTCTCCACACCGCGGGGCTGAATCATCGGCAGACTGTGTGTTGCGAGTGCCTCCTGGGACCCAATCGAACCTTTTGCTCTCCTGGTGTCTGCTGATGAACAGCAGTTTTAAATTTTAATGAAGCCCAGTTTATGAAGCTCTTCCCTGATGCTCACTGCCCTCTGTTCCGGTTGAGGAATCTCGCCTGACCCAAGGCCACCAGGAGTCCCTCGTGTGACCTGAAAGGTTCATTGCTTTCCTTGCCGTCCAGATCGATGGCCCTTGTCCGATTGTGTCTGTGTGTGCTGCGAGGCCAGGCTCACACCTCGCCCTTCCCGATGCTCAAGCCCGGTGTACCCGGAGCCCCTTCATGGCAAGATGAGCCTCCTGCTCACGTCACCTTCTGTGTCACCTTCTCCGTAAACCAGGCAGGTGCCCTTTCTCCACGGCCATCTCCGGGCTCCACCTTCCTGCCTCTCCCGTTCCAGTCCTATAACTGTGTGACCTCTGCTAAGCCCGACGTCTGCCCCTGCGAACCTCCCCTCCCTCTGCCTCTGTCCTCCGGCGCCTTGGCCATTCTTGGTGACTTCGCTGTGCAGTGGGAAGCTGCCCTTGGGGACGAGTGACCGGCTGGGTGCGGCTCGTTGGTCCCTGCTTCCTGCATTGTCCCCAGCTCCGACACAGAAAGCCACATCTGGTTGTTATTTTTATCCGCATCGCCTTGATTGCCGGCGAGGCTGGGCACTTTTCCTGAGCGGATCCGCCATCTGCACTTTCCTTCTATCATGATGTCGAGTGCTGTTTTTCTGATTGCCCGGGTGGAGCCCCACCTTTCTGACTTTGTTATAGAGTCGGCCAGTTTCCCATCGCCGCCCGCCATGCTCGGCTTTGTGTCAGATGCCCTGGTGTGTGCTCTCGGGCTATGCTGGCCTCGCTGGCCACCCCGACAGGTCCACAAACGTGGGGCTGGAGCAGGCAGAGCCCTCAGAGTCCTGCAGGCCCAGGGGAGGACTTGTCCCTCGGCCTCTCCAGTTCCTGGGGACCCGGCATCCTCTGCTCTCCTGCATCTTCAGATCAGTCCATCGGGAATCAATCAGTCAGCCATTCTGCAGCCGTCTACCTGTCTCCCCTTCTTCGGCCCTCCCTTCCCGCCCCCTGGCTGCTCCCCACCTGCCTGCCTCTTCTTGCAATGCTGTCTCGGTCTCCCCAGGGTGCCCAGGCTCCAG